CAATTGGTTTGGGGTGGAACAGAGAATCGCAGCATGGTCGCTTATCAACTGAGGCTCTGGCCTAAACTTTAAACAAAGCATTGTATCAAAACATTCTCAAAACACCTGCAGAGCCCCACAAAAATGTCATGAAGCAACCCATCCCCTTAAACCCCGCAACCTCTTCTGAAATCCGAGTCCCGACCCACAATGCTCCGAACCCTGAATCCCTTGAATCCCTTCAATCCTACAGCGTGCCGCGCCGCTTTGGAAGCAGCTCCAAGACCTGCTGTCTTAACAGTCTTGATGGCTTTATGGGGCTTCGGTGCTTGGGGCTTTGGGGGCTTTTGGGTGTCCGGGCTGATGAAGTCCGCGCGCGTTCAGGCTTTAGGGTGTTGGGCTCTTAAAGTTGCAGCCCCAGACCCCAGCACCCCAGCACCCAGCACCCCAGCACCCCAGCACCCCAGCACCCCAGCACCCCAGCACCCCAGCACCCCAGCACCCCAGCACCCCAGCACCCCAGCACCCCAGCACCCCTAAACCCTAAACCCTAAACCCTAAACCCTAAAACCCTAAACCCTAAACCCTAAACCCTAAACCACCCAAATCCTGCCGCCCTGCCGCCTGAATGACATCGTGGGCATCCTCCAGGAGCTTGGCATGTGCAAACGGGTGCGCCTCTGCGGATCAGGGCCGAAGGGGCAGTTGATCAGGGTCTAGGCTTCTTAGGGGGCGGCTTTGGGTTTAGGGTTTATAGGGTTTCGGGTTTCGGGTGTAGGGTGTAGGGTTTAGGGTTTAGGGTATAGGGTGTCGGGTGTAGGCTGTAGGGTTTAGGGTTCAGGGGTCTGGGGGGCCTCCGGGTGGGCTTCTAGGGGGCTTCCTGTGCCCCCAAACCGGCTCACAGCCTTAAGGTCTCGGAATCTGACTCAACTGTCAAAGGGCTGGCCTTGAAGTCGAAGTAGTATTCGGGTCGCAGCCTCCTGGGGCACGGCTGTCGACAAGTTACGGGGCTCAAGGTTTCGGGCCACTAAAACTCCTAAAGCCCCTAAAACCCCAAAAGCCCCTAAAGCCCCCAAAACCCCTTAAAACCCCTAAGGCCCTAGAGGATCTTGCTTTGGGGGTCCTGGGCTTGGGCCTAGCTTTAGGGTGGTCAGGAGGATTTAGGGTTCAGGGGTGGAGGGTTTCGGGGTTTGGGGCTTAGGGATTAGGGTTCAGAGGTGTAGGGTTTAGGGGTGTAGGGCTGACACACAAAGACCATCCACATAGGTGAAGCTACACCCTGAAGCCCCAATACACTGCTCAGAAGCCCCCCACTGGCAACACTACAGCCATAAACTGAAATCTTGGGTCTTGGATCCTGTAGCTTCCCTGCGAGCCCGAAACTGAACCCTATGGAACCTTGAGGCGTGAAGTCTAGTGTGTGCGAGCTTGGCGCCCGGGAGCTCCTGGGCACCTCGGACTTCGACAGCTCCGACAGCTGGAGGGTCTCCTGCTTTGCTTTGGCTTCGTTTTGGCCTTGCTTTGCCTTCGCTTTGGCTTGTGGCTTGTGGCTTGTGGCTGGCGGCTTGCGGCTTGGGGCGTGGCTTGTGGCTTGGGGCTTGCAGTTTGCAGCTTGGGGGCGGGGCTTCGGGATTTCGGGATTTCGGGGCTTGGGGGCTTGGGGGCTTGGGGGCCTGGGGGCTTTGGGGCTTTGGGGCTTTGGGGCTTTGGGGCTTTGGGTCTTTGGGTCTTTGGGTCTTTGGGTCTTTGGGTCTTTGGGGCTTGGGCCCCTAAACCCTGAACCCTAAAAGCCCTAAACCCGAAGCCCTGAAAGGCACTGCGAAGCCCTGGCTACCTCCTCCTTCCCCGGCTTTGCCAACTTCGCCGCCTGCACCCGACGCCGGCCTGGCTAAGGGGCTCTTTTGGGAGGGATTTATAAGGGGGTACTGGATTTTAGGGCTTTTGCTCAAGCAATTGAAGAGCAAGCCGGGCGTGCTGCTTTTGCCCCACTCTTTCAGAACTCCGGCCGCAGCTGTGAGAAGTTGGGGGTTCGGGATGCCGATTCAAAGGGTGCGGAGGACACTCCCAAGATGCCTATCTTTGCTCAGGCTCCACTGTGCCCACTCACAGTAGGACGTCCACAAGGTCCCAAGTTGTGCCAACCGACAGCATCAAAGTTGGGCGTACATCATGTCGTACAGCCGGCTCCAGCTCTCAACCCCACCCAAACCTTCAAAGTTCTCTGCATCCGCAAAGAAGTCCTCGCTGGAAAAGAAGTGGTCGTTCAGCTCCTCCGTGCGTGCACTATCTTCCATGGATTGGATGCCACTACCATAGATCTGCTCGCCAGTAAACCTCAGGGAGCGGCCACCCATCATGGCTTGGAAGACGTTTTCGCCTCCCCACTTCTCCTGGGCATCCGACTTTTCGAAAGCGTAGCGCAGATGCTTGGCGGCAGTGTCAAGGAACTTGCCCCAGTTCCAGCTGCTGGGAATTGCGCCGACCTCCTTGGCTTGCTTGCAGAAAACCCAAAAATCGCCAACGATGTCTTCGCCACCAGCATCTTCGTCACTGTAGAGGCCGCGGAGGTTGCCGCGGTAGGCATAATCGTCGTCAACACGCATGCGATAGCAATCCACAAGCCACTCGTACCTCTCCTGCTCGGACAAGCCTGATGCCCATGCTGACAGCTCGCCGGCGTTCGGCACAGCCCCGATTCCCAAGCCTTGAGAGAAGCCCTTCTTCTGAAAGTTGCGCTCAAAAGCATTTTGGGGCTTGCGCTGACCTGTGCTGCTGGTTCTTGACATTTCATGCGCTTCGCTACACTTCGACCGAAAGAACATAACCACACACCTCATGCCGTTACAGCTCGCGCACAAACAAATCTTGAGTGCTGCTAACCAGACTGGTGCATCACGAACCGACACGTAACCGGGAACAAGGCGGCAGTCCTCAAGGTCGGCAATCGCATCCTCCAGCTTTCCTAGGCTCTCGTGGGCCTTGGCGCGTCGGAAGAGGGCCTTGTAGTTGCTCGCGAAAAGGCGGACTGCGCCTGTGGCCGCATCGCATGCCATGGAGTAGTCCTTCTGACGCAGGTGGGCCTCTGCTAAGTTCGAGGCAATCTTGCTTGCTTCCTCGCGATGGACAAGGTCACTAGGGTTGCCAAGAAGATGAAGTGCTTCGACATACTTCCCGCAAGCCTCAGGATACTGCCCTGCTGCAAAGTGCCCATTGCCCTGCGTCTTCAGCATGACTGCATTTTTAAAATTGGCGGGCGAAACAGGGGACATCGCACAAGCTGGCCTTGAGGCAGCCTGCTTGCAGGCCATCTGCATCAGGTGCAGCGTCTCGATTTCCCAGTTGACATCCCCGAAAAAGAAGATGCGACCACCACCATCACCTTCGTGCACGTCGAGCCAGGGTGCGAATCTCTCCCTGCCATCGTGGGAACTAGGGATTGGGTCCGATTCTCCGCGGTGGTGCACCAAAGCCTCTCATGCTCCGGAATGTTGTCCATCATGTTGCTCTTCACCGAGAACTGTTTGAGCTTGCCTTCTGCCTCAGGGAAAACTCGCTTTCCGGCGTCCGTTTGCGAGTGCACTGCCCTGAAGTATGCGAAGCCGTTCCATTGGGTCCCAAAGTGTTGATTCGTCTTCTCATGAACGGAGGTGTTGCTGGCGTGGACAATAACTGTGCCGCCCTGCTCATAGAAGTGCACAAGGTCTTCGGAAAATAAGCTCCAGCAGTCGTCCTCGAAGAAGTAATCATTCAGTAGGACAGTGTGATACTTGCCAGAGAGGACCTTTTGTCGCAAACTTCTCCCCATCACTGCGATATCACCACCTTCGACAGCATCTACGCGGTTCTTGGGAAAGATCGTCCAGGAGCTGAGGCTGAGAGCATCCAACATAAAGTCCTCCCCATAACATACCAGCACACGGTCGCCGCCACACACACGCTTTGTGAAGTCCATGGCCGGCTACTGAGCTATCCCACTCAAAAAAAAAACTGACAAGAGAAGATGCTTGATTACAGTACATGATGTCTGATGCCGCATGCTTCAGTTTTTTTCGTGAACCTTCGCTGTGATGGCTGCTTTCGGGGCAGAGTCTGACAGTTGTTCCTTCAGAGCAACCCCCTTTGCGGCCCTGAAGTTCAAGCTCTGAAGCCCTCCCCCCCCCCCCACCCCCCAACTCCCCCCCAACTCCCCATCTAAGTCTGAGCACTCCAGCAAACGGAGCCTAGCCAAGCAATCGCCGCAATGGCCTTGGGACCGAGGGCTCGATTGGTGCTCTTGCGTGTGACATCCACAGCTTCAGCCTGAAGAGTTTGCCGGTTACCCAAGTGCATGGCTTGATGCTGCACTCAAACTTGGTAAGCTCCGCCACAAACAGTCTTGCCTTAAGTCCCTTGGTGCTCCAGAGCCTTTGTAAAACAGCTGAGGCACGGGCTGCCAGGGTCGCGGCTGAAACGCAAGCGCCAGCAGCGAAATCACTGCGTGACATGGTAGCTTGCTGGCGTGGAACGTTTAGGTTGCAACTGAGGAAGATCCCCCTAAATCACCAGGCAACCCTAAACAGTGCCAGCAACTATCTCGTTGTTGAGTGCATGTGGCCAAACTTGCCTCATGACTTGAGCTGGGGAAATGTCCGCGGCAGTCCCGTCCGTTTGATTTCAATTCCCGCTGCTTTGGCTTTTCTGGCTTCTAGTTTAGGGCTCAAAACAACAACCTCCAGCCTTCTAACTCCGGTCCTCCCAACCGCCGCCCTGTCCCCACGAACCGTATAAACTCTGAAGCCGAAAGCCCCAAACCCTCAAAACGCCCAAAGCCTTGGAACCCCAAACTGCAGTTGCCTAAGAAGCCCTGAGCCTATTTCAATCCCTGAATCCTCCCCCTCCAAAATGAGGGTTTCCGATATTAGGGGTACCTACCGTATTGGGGTCCTTGTTAATCCCTTACAAGGGGATCCTAAGATTTCGGGTCTTATCTGAGGGGCCCTTCCTATCGTAAACCCCCAAATCCCCCCCCAAAAGCCCCGGGCATCAGCTGACTGGGCCGCTTTCTGGGCAGCCTCCGGCGCACTGCGGAGGGTGGGAGGGTCTTACGGTGAACATCCCTTAAAGCCCTTGCCTGGAAGCCCCTTCTCCCCTAAAAACCCCACGCCCCCGGAGCGCACGCCCTCAAACCCCAGGCCAAAAACCTCAACCCTCCGAACCCCAAAACCCCCAAACCCTGCAAACCCTCAACCCCTTTTCAACTCGAAGGCCTCCACCCCCTAAACCCTTCATCGTTTGCTTTGGCAGTTGGTGAACCAAGCACCACAGTCTGTTCGGGGTTCGGGCCCGTGTGGTTCAGTTTGTCAGGTTGGGAGTTCTTTCACCCAGTTTCAGTTGTGGAGATGTGATCAGGTTTAGCCGTCCCAACTGCTTCGGGCTTAGGGTTTAGGGTTTACGAAAGAAATTCAAGCAATGTTCGGTTTAGGGTTCGAAGAAGTCCCGAAGCTTGTAAAGCCGCTACAGGACCCACCAAACTTCTACATCCCCTAGATGCACTTAACTCAACAAAGCACTTAACCTTAAACACCCTTACCATCCCTGCACCTCAAACCTTAAACCCTTTACCCTAAAAAAACCTGTAAGCAAGCAGCACACCCCCCAAAGGCCCTGAAAGCCTCAAGGATCGCTGGGAGCACATCGTCCGGCGCCCGTCGGGCAAGCGCCCGCAAGCCTCGGACCCAATCGGAGGCATTCTGAGGCTTGGGGCCTCTAGGGCTAATAAGGGCTTTGTCCGAGGGGGGGTACAGGGCTTATAGAACTTGTAAGGGTTAACAGGGCTTCGGGCTTCAAGGCTGCAGGGCTTGAGGCGAGAGATGTTGAGGGGTTCATTGTGGGGGTTTGGGTCGTTGCCAGGATTGCGGCGTAATTATAGAGCTTCAGGACTTTGCCAGAAAAGGCCGACGACAAGCATGCGGACCGCCCATGTCGCACCAAGGATACCGAAGGTCCTCGTGCCTTCGCGGAAAGTACCGGATTTCTTGTCTGGCCGCCTTTATCACAGGTTGGCCTGGTTGAACCCTAAATCATGATCCCAAATATGATCCAAAGGGCATACCCGACCCCTAAACCTAAAGCCTAAAGCCCAAACAACGTCGCAATTAAGGATCCGTGTGTCAAAGTGTTCGGTCTTGAGAGAACTTTGTGCTTGAAGGCGTGAGTCAGCAATTGGAAGCTATAGGGCTCAGGGCTTAGGATCTGGGGATTGGACTTTTGAGGCAGGCAAGGCCTACCTCAAGTTTAAAGGCCCTGAACCCCATATTACGAGCTGTGCTGCTATGCAGTCAAGTGACACTCGCGGCCGGACTGTGCGGTGCTACTCACCTGCAAGGCAGAGCCAAAGAACCCTGGCAGCCTAATACATGGGGCGTCTGTTTGGGTCGTATCCGCATTGTCTCGATTTGGACTCAAAAAGAACGCTTTCGATTAAGTGCGATGGGAGACCTTCATTTGCGGGTGGCACTTCGTCATGAGCCAAACCCTGGTGATAGAAAGAGGGGTTCAAGTTGCAGCCCCCGACTCAACACTCAAAAACAGCTGGAAGAGAGTGTGGGGAGCGGGGAGGTAGCATTATGGCCCAAGCGAGATGGGGCTTGTAGTCATGTGCCTGAGGGCTCGTTCTACGTCGACCGTGTGAAAGAAAGCAGGAGCACAAGCACGAGGGAAGCTCTGGCCAGCGTCTTCCCTTTTCCGACTCTTGCATTCTCAGCTCTACATGCGAAAACCTGAGCCCTAAACGGGCCACCCTAAACGGTAAACCCCAAACCCTATATGGGGGTTTCCGAAATAAGGGTGCCCTGTTTGGGGGTTGCCATAGTGGGGATCCTGGAATTTGGGGGCCTATTCGGGGTAATTTAAATCTTGGGAATTGCCCATATCCCCTTAGGCTGAGGATCCCACCTCGTCCAGGTCGTCCACTGCTGGTGCCGCGTCCTTGGCCGCGGCAAAAGCCGCGGCCACTGCTGCCACCAGGCCCTGGCAAACTTTGAAGCTTGCTTAGGATTCAGGGTTTAGGGCTTTAGGGTTTAGGGTTTAGATGGGTGTAGAGTTGTGGACCTGTGTAAGGATGAATTAGGGTTGAGGGCGTTTTTGTTTGGCTTGCGTCGAGTTGATGTTAGGATGGAGTCTGAGTTGTGTGGACAGGCTGGTCATGGGAGTTCTATGTAGGGTTGAGGGTTCGGGGTGTCTGAAAGCTTCAAGGGGCTGTGAGGGATTGAAGAAGGGCCGCGGAGTCGAGGGCTACGTTGGGTGATGTGAAGTAGTCTTCGGTGCACCTTGAGATTCAACCGTCTCGCTTCACTTGTCTATACCCTGAGCCCTAAACCCAAACCGTAACCCTGGAATATCTCACTCCAATGGACGTCCAGGAGACATGCATGCCCCCGCCGGCTTTCAGGGTGTTGGGCACAAGGGGAGAGGGGGGGGGGGGCAGGGGGAATTCTAAACGGGGTTTCTGGGACCCGTCATTGGGGAGCGGGTTCACATTCTTGTCAGCCTCCTAAATAGACCACCAAACCCTAACCCCCCAAATCCTGAACCCCAATTACCTAAACCTCAACCTCCTGAGCCTTAACCCCTAAACCCTATAAAACCCGCTAAAACCCTAAAACCCATAAAATTTAAAACCCTAAACCCTAAACCTGAAAACAGGCTAAACCCGCAACCCAAAACTTTGGAGCTCGCCTGCTTCCCACCCAGCAACTCCGCACTGCTCTTCGCCAGGGACCGGAGGAGCTGCAGGGCCTGTCTTTGCTTAGGGGGGGGGGGTTAGGGGTTTAGGGGGTTTAGGGGGTTTAGGGGTTTAGGGGTTTAGGGGTTTAGGGGTTTAGGGGTTTAGGGGTTTGGGGGTTTGGAGGTTTAGGGGTTCAGGGGTTTAGGGGCTTAGGGGCTTAGGGGCTTAGGGTTTAGGGGTTCAGGGTTTTGGCTGGCTTTTGGCTTCCAAGGGCTCGTGACTCGGGTTTGGGGTCTAGGGCAAGGTGGTGGGATGCCCACGCGCATTTGGAGTTTCCACGCTGGCAAAGCACGATACTGCCTGGCTCTCTGGCCTCAAGGGGCCGAAGATTTCAGTCCCCAGCCCACAGCCCGAAGCCCCAAACCCAAAATACCCAAAACCACGTCACGGGTACATGGTCCTTTAAGCCTTCAACTGCGCAGCCCTCATTGACAAGTTTAAAGAAGACTCAAGAGATGGCGCTGGGCTCCTCATAAGGCCACTCCAGACCCTGGTCGCTCCAAAGCTGTTCCGTTAGAACTTCGGGTACCTAAACCTAAACCCTAAACCCTCTGGACCCTCTAACCCCTAAACCCCTAGATGTCCCTAAACCCGAAACCCTAAGCCCTAAACCCTGAACCCTGAACCCTGACGAGCCCCAAAAGCCTCTGGCCTGAGTCTGACAAGGCTCTAGGGCGCGAGGCACCGAGCTGGATGCAAGCACGCGGCAGGCCTCCAAACTCTGGTTGAGGGTTTTCAGGGTTTTTAGGGCTTTTGGGGGTTTTGGGGTTTCTGGGGTTGTTAGGGCTTTTCGGGTTAACCCAGAACAGAAAGGTCTTAGGGGTTTAAGGGTTTTTAGGAGTTTGGGGTTTGTTAGGGTTTCGGGCCTTCAGGGCTCGAAGAGACTTTGTGCCTCGGTAGCGTTGAGGGCTGTTGGCTGTTGTTGGCTTCTGGGCCTATGGGGTTTGGAATTTTCTTTTCTGTTCTGGGTTTGCAGTCGCACGCATGTAATGATGCGATTTAATTTTGGGGGGAGGGGCTTCGACTCTATGATGATCATGAGGAGGTCCCCAGACCCAGTCACCTACCCCTTCAAATGTCCTACCTACAAATCAAGACTCGGAACCCTCAACCCTGAAACGAAAGGGGGGTGACTGTAGTATCATTACAAAGGGACCATGAGGGAATGCTGCTAGTAATTATTCCGACCCCTAGCCTATATTACTCTCTGAACCTGACTTCCAGGATGGCCCTGGCTTCTCAAGGATTCAGGGTGCAGGGTTTAGGCTTCGACAGTACAGCCTTCAGGTATCCCAAGCGTTCCATAATCTCCAAACTCTCTAAACCCTCCAAACCCTCTAAACCCTATAAAACTCCTATTGCTCCCATATCACTTCGAGCAAGGCTCGGGAGACCCTGAAACCGAGCCCAGCACCAGCTCCAGCGACGCGGTGCCTAAGGCCTCTGGGCTCGGCTTCTTAGGGCTTCTGGGGGCTTCTTAGGGTTTCCTAGGGTTTCTAGGGATTCTAGGGGCTTACAGGGCTTACAGGGTTTTAGAGGGTTTAGAGGGTTTGTGATTAGGGTTTCTAGAACCATACAGGGGCTTACAGGGCTGAAGGGTTTGTAGGTTTATCTGGGGCTTATGGGGTTTAGGGTTTAGGGGTTTATAAATAGGACAGTAGGAAATTGGGTCCCTTTAGGGCCAGGGTTTAAGGTTCATGGCCCTCGGTGCAAACGTTGTGGTGGCAGGCCTCTAGGGACTCGTCAGCTCTAAAAAGTCTTTGGTTACGATGGTGGCGTTGAAGATGTTGGATCCCAAGCTCTCAACTTCAGCCCTTCCTGAGCCAAGAGGTTGAAGCCTCAGATCTACATCCACATCCCCCACTGTTTTTCATCAAGTTTCAGGCGCAAAGCCATAGAGTAGGTTCCGCAAATCAGGGTCTTTTTTTGGTACCTATTGCAACGCGGACCCTCGTATTCGAGAAAAAGGCACCTGATTCAGAACCCCCCCCCCCCCCCTCCATCTTCTGCCTCGGATCGCAACGCGGGGGCCAGCGCGCCCAGTGCCCGGAGAGCCGCCGAGAGGAGCTGAGCAGGATGGAATCCGAAACACTGAGCCAGCAAAGGCCTGGAAATGGGAACCTTAAACCCCCAAAACCCTACGCCCTGAAGCCCTTCCGACAACCCCTTGTGAAGACCCAGCAGGTGCTGTATGCGTTTTCCCTTCGCTTGTTGTGTCATTGTTCCAGTTGATCTTATTCTTCGTACTATCAGACGTTCTTGATTCTTGCTGCGCTTTTCAGGGGGGTAGTTCAGGGTTAGGACTGTGGGCGCGCACCTGTAGCGCCAGCGCCGAGCAAGTCCAGATACCAAGCTACAGCTTTAAGACCCAAACCCCCCAAAGCCCAAACTCAACCAACGCCATGCGCTCTTGGAATCCGGCCTTGGGTGCTTCCCTTGGCTGCAGAACTTAGCGGGTTTAGGGCTTCTTGGGGGGGGGTCTCAGTGCTTTCTGCTGGGATTTAGTTTTCTTCTTGGTGTGCGGCTTCTTGGGATCCTAAACACATCGGCGTGAAAGCCGGAAGACGCCCACTGCGGAGAAAAGAAGGATCTTCTTGGCCGACGAGGGTTTGGGGTTTAGCTCGTGAGGCTTAAAAGCTTGGGCGGGCAGTTTCGTTCGTCTTCAACAGCCCCACAGCTATCCGGGGGCAAAGAGCGACTGGGCATCCAACTTTTGACATCTACCGATATACGGCTAGTTCTCTACATTAGGCCTCATTAATTATAGTACGGCACACCCTGAAAATAAGGACTCCGAAAGGGACTTGCTTTAATTTTGAGAACTGCCCATACGCGCGATGGCCGTAGCAAATCGACATCACCCATTCCTGCGGGATCATTGCAAGTATCCACACTATCCTTCCCCACCTAACCTTTCAACCCAATACCCACACAAACCAAGGCCGAGCCCCAGCTAGTTCTTGTTTTTTTTCTAAGCTAAGGTTTCCATGTTTTTGGGCTTGCGGTTTAGTATTGCGGCCAGGCCGCTCAGACGCAGGGCCAGAAACAGCGGCGACAGCAACCTGACTTGAGGGGTTGTCTACATTACTTTAGGGTTGTCAGGGTCTAGAACTTACGGGCGTGGATGGGCAAAGGGTTTTTGCGCCCTAGGGCCCCATGTGTCCTTTTACCAGCTTGCAAGTTTGGAGGCCTGAGACAGAGAGAGAGAGAGAGAGAGAGAGAGAGAGAGAGAGAGAGAGACAGAGAGAGAAAGAGATCTCTGAACCCTTCCACATGAGCGGGCGCCAAAAGGGCCCTTTTCCACCTGGCCTTGCTCTTCTCAGTCTCTATCTTAGGTTGGGGCCCACAGACCCTTCACCGATGAGAACCCCCACAAACGCCTCCAGCGTGGCGTCTGCTGCCCCATGCCAGTTCTGGCGGTCCTGCGCTTGCAGAGCAAAAACTCTCCGAAACCCTGGGACACCAGGTAAGCTGTGCCTTCGACGGGTAAGGGGGGGTTCAATTCTACCGACTTCTACGGCCCTATAGCATGGAAACCTTGAAGCTTTCGTCGTCCTTGAAGGTGGCTCGGCCTTCCACGCCCCACAATATACTGAGCCCCAGAATACCCTAACCATCCCTTCTTTTTGGGTCTTTAGGGTTTTTAGGGTTGAGAGTTTAAGCAGCAATCTACTCCAATCACCATAGGAACGCGAAGCGCGCACTCCTTTGCGCGGGAAAGCTTCGGGGATTGAAGGGCATGGGCTTAGACTCCAAACCCTACGCTGCACCACTGGTGAGCGATGGATAGGGTGTGGGGTTTACCTGAAAACCAAAGTATCCATCGTACTGACACTCTATTCAGGGCATGATTACGTGCACTGTAGGTATTACATAGCACCCTAAACCCTAAACCCTAAACCCTAAACCCTAAACCCTAAACCCTAAACCCTAAACCCTAAACCCTAAACCCTAAACCCTAAACCCTAAACCCTAAACCCTAAACCCCCCGAACCCTGAACTGGCCTACGGAGCAAAGGTGCTGCGACTCTTTCTCTCACAACTGCGCGTGGCGCCGGAGTGGCTCGGCGTCGTTGCACCACTCCAACCTCAGAAGGTCGCCAAGAAGAGGAAGAGGGTCAATTGGGTTTAGGGTTTAGGGTTTAGGGTTTAGGGTTTAGGGTTTAGGGTTTAGGGATTGGGGTTTAGGGTTTAGGGGTTTACTGAACTCAAGGCCTTTCACGCCTTCAGATCCCAGGGCACCCTCCTAAACCCTAGCACCCTAGAGCCTGAATCCTTAAACCCTCTAAGCCCTAAACCCCAAGTCCCCAAAGCCTAAGCCCTGAGCCTCAACCCTGCGGTCTAAACCCCAAACTGAGAACGGGGTCCCGGGCAGGCCAACAGCTCCGATGGTGTGCAAGGCATGCTCGCAGCAGGAAACCTGGTTTCAGGGTTCTTAGGGGTTTAGGGTTTAGGGTTTAGGGGGTGGGTTTGATGCATAGCATAAGTCGGGAACCCACGACTAACCAACAAGAAAAACAGGAGCCCTAAATCCGACAAGGGCCCCTGGGCCCTTTCACAGGCCCCCAAGAGAAATTCATGTCTAGAGCTGTATCATAAGGATCGTATATAAAGAAGCACTAAGCAGAATCTCAGGAAGGTCAGGTTTTGTTTCGGTGGGAGGTCTAAAGCAAACTGGTCAACTGTACGATCTTGCAAACTTTGCCTGAGACGGAAGGCGACCAAGCAGCCACAACACTGCAGCTGGGCATGTCGACTTGCACCTGCACCACTTGAGGTTGAGAAAGCGGCATCAAGGGGACTTTGCAACCCTGACCCTAAACCCTAACCCCTGAACCCTGACCCCCCCCGCCTGGTTCTGTGCAGCCGAAGTCATTAACTGCAAGGAAGCCTGCCAGGCTCTCATCCGGCCCTGAGAGCGCGTGCGCGGCAGAAAAACAACTCTGGAGCGCTTCAGGGGTTCGGGGTTTACCAGGAAGGGCTACTGGGCCTTATAATCCCCATAGTCAGCCCTAAAATGGGGCCTTTTTTTAGTTATAGGGTATAATAGCCCATCCTGGTGGGGACCCTACCAACCTGCACCTTTCTCGGCCCTAGACCCAAGCTTCAGGCTCTGGATCTTGTTTTTGCCTTCTCAAAGAGGTCTAAGCATAACGCCTTAAACATGAGGCGAAAATCCATCTAAGCCCCGAGATATGAAGCCATTGATTCTGAGTTCTGGGGCTCAGTGCTGACTTTACCACATCGGCCAGGTCCCGATACCCGAAACACTTCTGCACCTTTCGCACACCGATGTCTCATGTGCAGCTTAGCGGCGCAGGCGGACAAGCCTGGGCATTCCACGGCAAAATGGGCTAGCTTCTAGTTTGGCTCTTTTCAGGGCCCTCGGCAGGAAAGGGCCCCTAAACCTCAGCCTACGAAGTCCTATACCTTGAGTGCCAATCGCCTTGAGAGTTCGAAGGTGGCAGAGGCCCTTCAGGACTTTCGAAGCATCTTTGTCGGGCTTCTCCCTTCAGGAAAAGCGGCGAGCATTCGACCCCTGAGCCAAGCCGCCTGTCCCGCAAGCAGACTTGTCGTGCAGCACGCCAGAATTCAGCCTGAGCGCCCAGCAAGAACAGACACCCTACCCTCCCTACGAGTATATCGAGCATCACCCCAAAACCTTTAAGTTCAGCAGCTGGATCCCAACAAAATAGCAGCACACTTTCCTGGGTGGTTGGATGTGTGTTTGGAGAGGATCCCAAAGCCACCCCCTTCACTGGGCTGTGCGTGTCAAGCTTCCAACCAGGGCTTTGAAGGATCCCTGAACCTCTGGCCCTTCACCTTTGTCCCCCTAAACCCTAAACCCTAAACCCTACACCCTAAATCCTAAACCCTAAACCCCTCCCCCACTACCCACAACAAAATGACCGAACCCTCGGCGGCCGCGCCACGTTCGCAGCGCCTCCTCCCAACGCCCGGCCCCGCCGGAGGCAGCGGCGGCCGCATTGCGGAGCACCATGTCCCGGCGCACGTGAGCACCTGGGGCTCTAGCTGTGAAAGGGTTGGGATGTTCCCCCTTACACTAACAGTCCTTAAGAGGGATTTATTGTACCCCCGATTCTCATCCCTAACTATTAAGGACTGTTGGAAAAAAAAGGGGGAACATGCCAACATACGGGTTCCGTTTGTCGTAGTGTCTGGTGTTGAGCTTATCTGGTTCAGGGTTAGGCATGCAGCTGGGGATTTTGGGTTTAGGGTCGTTTCGGATCCGGGGTTTCGGTACGTCCCTGTCGGGTTTGGCCGTGGTGGTCAGGGTTTTGGGGCCTTACGTGAGACGTTCACCCTTTTTGCTGAACACCCTTATTGCTTCACAGGTTTATGAGGGAACTTAGCCCCAAACAACAGGGAAGGTGTGTAAGACCGGAATTAAAGTGAAGGCTCCGAACACAAGGCTGCAACCCGCGTGCTGGTCCGGACGTTGGGATGTTACATGAGAGTTTCCCGGTCCTTACCAAACTTGGGAACGCTGAGATAAGCACAGGCCTCATTCAGTGAAACACTTGGAGAGTTATCGGCCTTGTCGAAGTTGGCGATGCCACCGGATGAACAACACAACAACACAACAAAAACACCGAACTTCGCTGGGACCCTGGGTTGCTAAGCCCAAAACCCTCTACTACTACCCTTCGAGTTGAACCCCAACACCCCAAGACCCCCTCACGCCCTAGGCTCCCTCCCTACACCCCGTAATCCATAAGCTCTGCGCCGCCTACTCCCTAAACCTCTCCGTCCCGGCGCCGGCCATCTGACGGAGCAACGTGGAGGCCGTGAGCCACTGACCTCCGGTGGCTTGGCGAAATTTTGCTCAGGGGGCAGAGGAGAGGGGGGAAGTGAGCAATCTCCAGAATACTCTGATAGATCGCTCCTAGCATCTAGATTGTACTCCCCTACTCCTTTGAGCACCAGGAACAAGTGTCTTGCGGATCCATGTTCGGTCAGAAAACCAGGTGCCTCTAGTTAACAGGTTCCCCAATAACGCAAGAGGGAAGCGTGTGATCCGAAACCTGGGCATCTTCTCAACCCTGCACTTCACCCTGAACCCTCTAAAGCCCTCAAAGCCTGAAACCCTTTAACACCCTGCACCCCTAGATGCCCCGAAGCCCTCCTAAAAGCCCCCTAGCCCCCTAAAACCCTAAGCCCTAGAACCTCCCTCAAAGCACCAGCCAAACCTAGAACCCCATAACGCTGCCATGGAAAACCCCCTACCCTCTAACCCGAAACCCCGGAAAGTTCCCCGCCCTCTAAGCACCAGTGAAACCCAGCGTATGGGTTTATGGGTTATGGGTTCTGAGTGATGGGTTCTGGTTTATGGCTATGGGTTAAGGGTTGTGGGTTTAGGGTTTAGGGTTTGGGGGAGGTGCGGCCCAGGAGGCTTAAGTTCTCGCAAGCGCTGATGGCCGAACTGAAGCCTGTCATCAGGGCTTCGGGTTCTGAAGTTCATGGGCTTTGCAGGGCTTCGGGCTCTGAAGTTCTTGGGCTTTGGGGAGGGCTTTTGGTAGGGCTTTTGTAGGGGTTTATGTTCGAAGAGGGTTTTTTGGAGCTGTCGAGCTGCAGGGTTTAAGCTCTTGAAGGGATCCGGGCCACTTTCGCGGCTGCGAGCCCTTATGAACGCAGAAACGAACCCCCCCCCCCCCTCCCACGGTATGTAAGCCCAACTTTTCGGGAAGCCTACACTCCACACCATACATCGGCCTCGGGTGCTCGCAAGGTTCTGAAATTGCATGCCTTGGCTTGGGAATTAGGGTTGCCAGGGCTTGGGCGGGAGCAACCTCAACCCTACGGTTGAAACAGTGTTGAAACCCCCAACCCTCCTGGGTTTAGGGTTTTAGGGTTTGAAATTGTGCTGCGAATTCGGCGATTCTGGAAATTTTTCCTTTCAGCTATGAAAGATGTGAAGCCTCAATCTCGATAACACAAGGTACTCGTCATCTTGTCAATGCAAGATCTCTAGTCGCACGGACGTCCCCTGCACTACAGCATGACACATTTGACTGGCTTGGCATGCCCCATGATCACAGGGCTGCACTCTCTATCATGGCAGCATCTCGGCAACTCTCAGCAACTCCCAGCAAGCGGCCATTGCAGAAGTGCAGCGCCAGCGTCCTAGCGATCTCTAGACCATGTAGGGCTTCTGCTGGAGGAGCCAAGCTAAAGCAAGGGGCCATGTCGGGTCATCTGGAGGACTGCTGAATCACGGCTTGCCTCGTGACAAGCTCCTCAAAACACGAGTCTGGAAGCCAATCGCACAAATTTCCGTCCAGTGATGTGCACGTTCGGCGCGCTGCGAGGCGGCGCCCAGCGCGACCTGACTGACCTGGCGCGGAGCCGGCGTCAAATTGAAGCAAGAATTATGGCTTATATAGGGTTTCTAGGCTGTTGGTGGTTCTTGTTTTGTTGTTGTAGTGTTCCTCTTTCAGTTTTGGCCATCTCGGGGATTGGCTCCCCAATGGCGCAAGGAAAAATGCTTCTAGGCTTCAGAAACTGTACAGGCTTGACCGTAACAAGAACGCATGGCACAAAATTCTGAGTCCTGCAACCCGAAGCTCGGCGCAGGGTGGTTTGGGGCTGTCCTCCGGCGCTTGGGGTCGGGGACCCGAAACTCTGAAGAGCCACCAGGCCTTAGTGATGTAGTTGCCGGTATTGTCTCCCCTAAGCCCCCACAGTATATAAGCTGGCCTGAATTATAAGAAGAGGCCCTGTATATTGCACTCCCCCCTTTCCCCTCCGGAGGTGTCAAGCTCTTGTTGTTCCTTTGCTTGCGACCACACCCTGCTCCTGCACCCTAGAACCCTAGAACCCTAGAACCCTAGAACCTCAGAACCCCAGAACCCCAAAACCCTAAAACCCTAAACCTAAACCCTAGAACCCTAAATCCCTAGAACCCATTCGAACCGCAGAGCCCTGCGAGTAAAACCCTAAAAACCCCTAAAACTGCTGAGGCCCGGCCTCCAGGCTCTCTTTCAGAACCATGTCCAGCAGCCTTACGGCACCTCGCGCGAGAAAGCCGAAGCCCTAAACTCCACACCCTAAACCGTGGACCCCTAAACCGTAAACTCCAAATCCCAAACTTCTAAACCCTAAACCCTAAACTCTCACCCCTGAACCGCCTTGGGTCCCAGAACTAGCCCCCAAGGTTTCCCAGCCAAGCTGCTCGGCCATGCTCTACTGCCCGGGTCGCGTGCAGCCAAGAGCAGGCCGTAGCTGAAGATGTCCTTATCGACTCTTTTCAACCAGTCTCAACATTTAAGTACACATGGCCCTTCACGGTCCCCTACAATCTATAGTCCAATACTCCTACTTACTCTCAAACTCGAACTCTAACTTTAACTCTTACTCTTACCACGACGGCTACTACGACTACGACTACGAGTACTGGTACTAGTACTAGTCCAAGTACTAGCACTACGACGACGACGACGACTGCTACTACCACTACTACTACTACGACTACTACTACTACTACTACTACTACTACTACTACTACTGCTGCTGCTGCTGCTGCTACTACTACTACTACGACGGCGGCGGCGACGACGACGACGACTACTACTACTACTACTTCTTCTTCTTCCGAAGCCATACCGTGAATCGACTGTACGTCAACACACTACTTACTCTTTCTTCTTCTTCTTCTTTTTGTCCTCCTTCTCCTTCTCCTTCTCCTACTGCTACTCCTACTCCGACTCCTACTGCTGCCGCTGCCGCCGTCGCCGCCGCCGCGCCCGCCACGACGAACAGCACCACCACCACCACCACCACCACCACTACTACTACCACTACGACTTGGGCGATGGCTACAACTACCTTTTGATGGTTCGTGAAATTATTCTCAAGTATAACCAATCAAAAGCATCATGTCCACAACGGTCGAGAGTCTGGGAGGTAGCCAAGCCTCGGCTTCACACTCAATCCCGCCCCAAACATCTTGGAGGCTGGAAACCAATTCTTTTTGGGACGAAGGATGCAGGAGTGGAAGTAGCTTACCGGGTTTGTTCAAAACATGCTGCAGGGTCCTTGATTGGGGGGTGCCTACATGGGGACCTAAGATTCAAGAGAAGGAAACCCCATGTCTCCCCGGTCTCCCTCCTCTCTCTCCCCCCATCCCCTCTCTCCCCTCTCGCATGTCCGCAAGCGTGTGTCCCAAAAGTGCATGTCCAAAAACTCATGTCCGAAAACGCATGTCCCAAGAAAGCATGTCCCAAAATGCATGTCCGAAAACACATGTCCCAAAAACGCATTTCCAACAATGTGTTTTCCGGCCCTCCGACTCACCACTCTGCCCAGCAGCCGCTTGATACCATCCAGGGATGTCACGACCTCCTGCCACTTCCCGGCGCTGTGCATCGCCCCTGCCAGCGCAGTCACTGTTAAAGCCCCCCTGGACAGGATTCAGGGACTCCTTAGTTCGGACACGCCCTACGGGTATCACGCGCGCAAAGCCCTCAAACTGAAGGTTCGTCATTCTTGTGGCTTCTGGGGTCTTTCTCTATTGGGTCTGCAGTGTAACTTGGGGCCCTTTCTTCAACGAGCCCGGCCTATCAGGCGGTGTTGGGCCACCAGCTGCACTTGAACCTTGGTGTCTCGCTGCCGGGAATTTGTTTTCGGACTTGTCAAGCCTTAGCGACGACTTCCCGACCGTGTTGTCTAGTGACTAGTCCGATGCAAATGCTGCACCCAGCCATTCCTAATCTCTAATCCCTTCCTCCCCCGGCCCCCAAATACCTGCTACGTTGTGGCTTTGCCACCTGCTCATTTGGAGGGTCTCGAGTTGCGGGTACACGCTGTGAACCCTGAAGCCGGGATCCGCTACATGCTAAACCCAAATCCGGAAACCCTCGTGGTAAACACTGAAGCCACAATCCCCTCAAGCCCTAAAGCCGCCACCCACTAAACTTTACTGAACTTGGAACACTAGCAAAAATTCTAACTTTAGCTGCTTCTTAGGAACTAATTTCCGCACTCGAAAATTAAAAATAAGGACTCCCACCACGAATCCCTAAGGAAACCCTAAACCGCCTGCGCGCCGGCCACAGCGCGCAGCAAAGCGGCCGCGTCACGCCAGGCACCGGAGTTGGCGAAGGCACCTGTGGGAGCTCTGTAGGGTGTATGTTTCGGAGCATATATAGTTTAGGGTTTAGGGTTTAGGGTTTATGGTTTAGGCTGAATCCAGGGCACTTATGAGCCGTTCGTGCAACTCCAACACTCTGGCTCCACAACCGGTCCCTAAACCCTAAACCCCAAACCCCAAACCCTAAACCCTCAACATCCTTAACCCAATGCCCCAAACCCTAAACCCTAAACCCTAAACCCTAAACCCTAAACCCTAAACCCTCAAACCCCAAACCCAAAACCCAAAGGGTCCAAGCAGCTCAGTGCCAAGAACGCCGGCACGACATCCTTGGGGCTGCCCCTTAAGAACCCCCCCCCCCCCCCCCAAAAAAAAAAAAAAAAAAAAAAAACTTTTCTGCTAGGGGGTTTGGGGTTTAGGGTTTAGGGCTACTCACAACCCTCCTAGGATTCTGAGGCAACCTACAGGGGGTTCTTGAGATCTTGGTTGGGGTGCAGGGGGGAGTCAGGGCTTAAGAGGGGCTTGCTTGGTGGTTGTCGTTCTGTCTTAAACCACGGGGTTCAGGATCTGGGTTTAGGGTTGAGGATTCAGGATTCTGAGCGTATAGTGAGACACGAAGAACATGAAACTCAGATAATGATCATGCCAGGAGGCAGGCTCCACGTGGAGCGCGCGCATCTGCTCCAGCACTTTGCGCAGTGCTTCGAAGTCCCCGGCACGAGCAAATGCTTTCAGGCAGCGTTGGCTGGTTTCCAGCACTTCCAGGGGGTCGTGCACCTGAAAAAGCAAAGTGTGCTGCGTATGTGTAGGTTGTGTTAGAAGCACATCTTGTGGACCTGTTGCTACACAAGGCTGTTCTACCCCAGACTTTCATGACCAGCTAAACATGAGCCTGGCACGATGCTTGCGTGCCACTTAGTTTTGCAAGATCCATCCCTTATGTAAAGCCATCCTAGCCGAAGATGCTACACTGGGATGAGCACCAACTGGAATCAAGGCAAAGGCACCATCTGTGCCAAGTAAGCCATCGTCCAGGGCCACGGTCCTGGCTGCTCCTGAGCACGTAGATCGCTCAAATATGGGTCTCGCCTACCCTGCCCTCCATTTCTTGTGTTGGGGGTGGGGGGGATTTCCTATAACAGTAAGGATTCAGCATTGGTAAATGTAAGGACCCTTACTACGGGAAATGCCCATAGAAGCTGCAACCTACATTCGTTTCGAGTCCCACTTACACCAGAAGCCACCGAGGCCCACCCACTTCATGGGATTCGTGATCTCATTGCATACAGCAGGGCTCTGGCTGAAAAACAGAGTTTAGGTGTGAGGGTTCCCTGAACATGCAAGAGCCTAGCCCTTCACACAATATGAACGCGGTTAGGGTTTAGGGTTTAGGGTTTCGGGTTTGGGGTTTAGGGTTTAGGGTCACTGTAGGAACACTAAGCCGCGACCCTGAATCCGTCGCCAGAGCACCCAGGCTCGGGCGCAGCCACTGGGGGAAGCACGCCGCAGGGTGGCGGCCGACAAGAGTGCAAGGGACCTCGCAGGGCATCCTAAACCCTAAACCCTAAACCCTAAACCCTAAACCTTAAACCCTAAACCCTAAACCCTAAACCCTAAACCCTAAACCCTAAAACCTAAAACCTAAAACCTAAAACCTAAACCGCTATATAGTGTTTAGGGCTTAGGGCTCGAGCTTCGCAGGTTCTAGCTTCTTCTGGGATGTCCATGGCTTCAAAGGCACAAGTGGCTTGGAGCTGTTGCTCTTGCGACTCAAGGCTGTAATACAGTCCAGTCAAGGGTGCCAAAAAAAGTTCCAGAACTTGGAGAACCATGTAAGGGGCTGCTTAAGGGTCTACTGCATAAACCCTCAGCAACCTTCCAAAACCGCAACAAATCCTCCCCCTTGCCCCCTAAAATGAAGCCTGCTACTTGCATGTTCTACACACCCTACAACCCTAAACCCTATAAACCCTAAACCCCTAAATCACCAAGCCCTTGCAAAGATGCGGCCCGGGCACTGGTCCCAAGAGCCAGCGGCGGCGGCCAAGCTGAGGCCGTGTTGCCAAAGTCCTGGCTTGGGCACGGTTTTAGGGTTTAAGGTTTAGGGTTTAAGGTTTCGGGCTTAAGGTTTAGGGTTGAGGGTTTAGGTTTGCTGTTTGCAGAGGATTAAAAAATAGCACGAACCAGGGGCCGAGGGTGATGCACTTGGGGTTCGCCGGGTGCACCGTGTGAGTTTTACCAACAGTCGGGACTGCAACAGTGCCCTGCGCAATAGAGCGGCCAACCATCCCAGAATGCATGAAGCTTTCATACCTGAGTTTCAGCCGCCCTGCCGACTCGTGATCAAAAACGCGCAGAAAGTCCTGCAAAGGAAAGTGTGCGAGCCACGATGTTGTGCCCAGCCTCTGCTCAGCGGGCTTTGCTGGGAACTCATGGGTTCAAGGGGGCAGGAGGAAGCCCCCCCCCCTGCTTCTACGGCCCTCTGAGGTCTGCATAGCTCGGGGACATGTCCAAGACCCACCAAGCGCAAGGCTCTACACGCAGCAACGAAACGTGGCTCTCGTGCTTAAGCCAGCATGCAAGCTCTTATAGGGGTGAAAAAGGCTCGGCCCCGCACCTCGTTTGCTTGAATCCCCTGTGAGCGCGCTGCAGAGATCAGCGAAATGGAAAACCTCGGAATCGACGTTTCACAAGGCATTCCTCAGCGGATTTGCTTCTGAGCTTTTTTGTCCTAGCTGTCGTCATCGCTATGGTTATGGCCAGCCTCCAAGTCCTTACAAGCACAATATCTTATACAGCCTGGTGATCTCTTGTCTTTATCTAGACTAGCCAATATAGCCCCTACATACCAGAATAAGGATCCCTATATCTACACCTTTTCAAACAGAAACCCCCATGAAAGAGACCACCAACCTGTAGCTTAAACAATATCGCATGAGCGACACATGGTCACCCGGTGTCCAGGTGCAAAAAGCCAGGATGCCTCAGGGCAGTTCTGCTGGAGCTCGGCTTCAGCGGTGTTCTGAGCCCGGTCGCCCAGAGGGTCTGCTGGGACATCCGTAACGACGCCCTCTGTGCTCCAGGTCACTTGTCGACCGTCCCTGTTTGCAATGCTCAACCTCCATTCCTCCGTAAGAGCATTCGCCTCGTCAAGCACCCGAGGCTCCAAAATTTCAAAACCCAAATGATACATGCGGCGCAACCTAAGGACACGTCATATGACTTCCTTGAAGGCAAATTTTCATTGGGTCAATACCGAGCTAACCAGTCAGACGTCCAAACCCAGGTGCCGTACTTGCGTGTAAGTACCCTTTGCGTAGTTACATTCAAGCCACCAAGCCCTAAGCCTTCGCGACGCCTGGAGAAATTTCGGCAAGCCACGGCCAAGAGTGAGAGTCGAAAGCGCGAGCTGCTTCCTGGGCCCCACGAAAAATGCCAGGAAGATTTGGGGCCGGTTTGGGGTTTAGGGTTTAGGGCTTCGGGTTTAGGGTTTAGGGCTTAGGGAGGCGCAGGCAAAGGTTCACAAGTCCGACAATGTCCACGCAGACACTCAGCACGCTTGCTGCGGCGTGGCAAGACATTCCGTTGGCACACAGTGTTGCAGCAGGTTGCGCCCCACAGATAAGCACCCCAGAGCTTGGCGAGTATGACACGGAACTGCCTCAGGACATATTGACATGAAACTTCCAAGGCCTGCAGTGCCCAGGCAAAGATGGTAATTACACGATGGTCCAGCAAATCATTTGCACAAAGCAAGACGTAGAGAAGCAAACGGGTGGTGTTCTTGGGCTCCGATCACAAGATGAAACCATGTCGTCTGCTGTTCAAATTCCGTCGGTCCATTGTCAGTGACCCAGCCATACGTACAGTTTTGAATTCTTACGAGCACGCGTGCGCAGAGACATCCCACACGTACAGTGTGCATACACAGAGAGGGAGGGAGAGCGAGAGAGAGAGAGAGGGTGCTAATAAAAACATTGCAAAACCATGCAACCCAGCACATTCAAGAAAGACAAGCATGCATACACCGCCCAGGCAAGCCTAAAAGTCCAGCATGTGAATCGGGTGCAAGAACTGAGGGCGCGGCAGTGACGGTCACGGTGTTGGGTTCGATCCCGGAATCCCGGAGAAGGTCCAGCGTGCTGGCCTACAGAAGCGAAGGGTCACGTCTGCGGGGTTTGTGGCTACATGACATGTGTGCTATGTGTGCAGCCAACGGCTTCGAACAGTAGACAGAACAAGAAAAGCCTCATGATGTAGGGTCCCAAACAGGCCTCGAACAACAAGGCACATGATCACATGTACATTATTTGAATTATTTGTCTTTGCACCAGAGACCCGTTGCCGACTGAAGATCCTTCTGACCCAGATCCCCAGCTCGAAGCAGTTGGAGTGCAGGGTTTTGAGGTTCTCAAGAGTTGCAAGGACTCAGGGCTTTAGGCTTTTGCAGTGACATCCACAGCTGGCTGGAAGCCCTTGAACCCTTGAACGGGGCGCAGGCTATGGATTTTCTTGGTGCGAGGGCTAAGGGCTGAGGGTCCTAGATGTAAGGGCCTGTCCTCACCCACCAACAACCTTTAGCAATGACTAGGGCTAGGCGCTTAGTAGGCTCAGTCTGTTTAAGTTTTGAACATGGTGCTATCCGAGTACGGCAGAATGGGATCGTCCTACCTGTCCTGCTTTGCTTTCAAACCCCAAACTCCCAACGAGCTAAGGGCTTGGGCTTGTCTCTCGAACGTTAGGGTGGAGGGTTCAACAATTTTGGATCTTAAGCCCTCCACTGAGGATTCTTGGGGTTGGGGTACTTCAGGAACCACATTCCAGCCAAGCCTTCTGGGCGCCCGACCCATTGCCGGCCCGCGCGGGAGGCTTGCAGAAGAGCGGCGAGGGCGAAGGACTTGGCAATGGGAGATCGCTTACCCGAAGCTCTAAGGTGCAAATCGGGGTTTAGGGTTGAGGGGCTCAGGTTTACGAGCTGTCTCAATTCTCAGGTCAACATCCTTGGCAGCATGGAGATGGCGACAGCAGCATTACCAGAGCTGATGGCAGAAGCCTGCTGATCGATGCAGCATGGGCGCGTCTTCAAGAACAGGTTGTTGCCGAGCAACATATATACAAGGCGACAGTTAGTAAGACAATTGGCCACCTTTCTCAGCGTCAACCAGGACTCCCCCCAGCACTCAGAGAAGCGGAAGACTGAGTGTCGGGGTCGTGACAAGCTGTTTGGGCTTCCGAGGGTAGCTCTGAATTGTCGGGCTGCGCCCGGAATCATGTGTGATTTTCCCGGCAGCCATGAGCTACGACTAAGGATGCCAGAAGGCCTCCGGGCCTCGCTGATGCTGACCTCCGAGAAAAACTCCATGCTTCCGACAGCATCATCTGTTCGTACTCGGTAGCTGCAGCTACAACCAGCTCCACAACAGTCCATGAAGCACCACAAAGCAGGTTGGTCCTCATCGAGGCGTCAGCTCGCTAACGCTGTTGACGTGATGGCCGCATCCCAGGAGGAGCGAATGGAAGGCCACAACCCCCCAATATGAAGATGAGCTGCAGACCCTGCAGCTGAAACGATGTGCCTAAAGAGTACCCTGCCTGCTGACATGGAAACTTGCAGACCTGCGCCACCGTGTGGACTGCGGAACATTGCCGTGCAAGCCCTACACCCAGACCCTGAGCCCCCCACATTCTGTTGCAGAGCTCCGTTCTCCGCCAGTCGAATCGCCCGGCGCCACGCCCCATCTGCAGACTCTGCACCGTGGGGTTTAAGGGAGTCATGTAGGACTTGAGGTCTGAATGTATCCATGCGCTTTGGATACAGACTTGAATCAAGCCTTGTTCTTGAATCCGCCCAAGTCTACAGCTTCATCAGCACTGCCAAAGTCGTTCTTCTCGGACTCGCGGGCCCCATCACCCTTAGACTGCAAAACTCCAAACCTTGCAAGCCCGAAACCCCTAAAGCCCTAAACGCCTGAACCTCCAGCCCACCGGAGCTTCGGTCGGGCTTAGAGTTTCTCATGGTCTGATCAAAAAACGCCCTCGACCCTGTCAAGGGCCAAGCCTGACATCCTCACGTGCCCAAGCACCAGAAGACCCCTGTATCTTAAGAGCCCTCCACGGCCCATGCCCCCCCAAACCCTCAAAACCCCAAAGCCCCACACCAGCAATCCTAGAACCCCTCCCGCCGGCCTTCGATGCAAGAGAACATGGCCGCAGTGAGATGCTGCGCGCCAGGCTGGAGAGCCTGCCTGCTCAAAACCGGCGTTTACTCACTGTCGGTTCGTAGGGAATGGGGGAATGGGGTGCCCTAATGTATTCCCTTTAAGGGTCTGTAAGTTTAGGGTGCAGGGTCCTCCCCGGTAAGTTAATGGGTTGGAATCCCTATAGCTGCGGAATTGTGTGGCCTTTGAGTCCTAGGAATAGCCAGGGTGCACTTGTCTGTGGAGTGCGGGTATCGGAAACCTTCTCACCTCTGAATAGTGTCCTCCCAACAACAGGAAAAAGTTAAGATATCCCAAGACCTACCTAGTATATAGGGGAGGGAACCGATAAGCCCTCAAAAAGGGCATGACAAAGGTACCACCCTACCGGTAAGGCTCTTTGGGTTGAGGTTGCGAGGGTCCGGCGAGGGGGCACAAAACTTCAGCAGAGGCCCCAATGGTACGGAAAACGAGGATTTCGGGGGTGTCAGTGTCAGAGGCGAAGGCTTCACCTAAAGGGTCTTCGGCCCAAGTACGGCTTGCAGGGTTTCGAGATGAGTGCTGTATAAGGCCTAGGGCGCAGTTCAGGGCTGTTTTGGGGGGGACATCTAGAGCACTGTTTTGCCTGCCCCAAGGGAGTGTGCATGCAGGCCCCGCGGCAGATCTGAACCGCCAAAGAGCCTGATGCATGTCCGGAAGCGCTTTGGGAGGGTACCCTCTCGCGCCTGCTCATGCGAGCTAGTAGCTGCAGCACGTGCATCCACGAAGCGACCTTGCGGGTTCTCCCCCCCCTCCCCCCGAAGCTCCTCAACCCCAATATCCCAAACACCCCAAATCTCTGAACCCTAAAGCCGAAGGGAAGCAAAGTCCAGACCTCAAACCCCAAGTGAAACCAAAACCCAAAAACCCCGGCACTCCCCTTATAGAACGTTGATAATAACGCAACGGCTTGTTCTTCATTTACTCCCTCTAATTTAAACCCTCAACCCCGAAGGAGCGCTGCATTCAACTAAGCGGGCTCACCGCCAGGGCCGCCGTGAAGGAGACCTCCGTAAGGCGCACGTCAAGGCGCCTGGCCCAGGGTTTAGGGTTTAGGCTTTAGGGTGGATTGTGGCTTAAGGGCTGGTGGGGTTTCGGGCTTGATATTAGACTACAGCTTTATCGGGTTTCGGGTGTAAGGGTTTGGGTCTTCGACTTCTTTCTCGGTTCTTCAGAAAGCTGATCTGGTCAGGATTTCCTTTCTCAGGGCAGGTGCGATCATGCTAGAGAGGCTTGTTTGCTTTGAGAGGGCCCTTGGGTATGAAGTCCAGGCCGGGAGTCGTTTTGCGATTCCTTTGCCCACACCGACACAGGCTTAGGCCATCTTAGGCCATCACAGCAACAGCGGGCAAAGGGCAAACGAGGCGCTCTTTTGCAACCCGCCTTTCGCTGCGGGATGCTGTAAATCTCGTCTCATCAATTCTGTGGTGGCTTGACACAAACATTGTCGTCCGACCACATACTAAGAAGAGACTCTCCGGGCATTAGAAGGTGGCAAGCCCCGGCCCGAAGCGAAAGGTGGAGGGTGCGTTGCCGACTCTCTCTGGCATGCCTCTGAGAACTCCGACCTGGGCAATATGCTTGGCACCCGACTGGATGGCGAGCCCTGCGTGGAGCAGCCGGTGTTCGAATACCAGAGCACAGCCTTGGGGCAGCTCCACGTCCACGGCCGTGTCGTCATAGCTACCGGAGGGCCAGAGTCGTGTAGCTCCCCCCTCGAGCTCGGACCTCTTGGACAAGGAGATGAGCAGCGTGTGGCTCGAGTCATACCGCTCCTTGCCTTCACCTGCCTTCACGGTCAGGAAGTCTGCCTGGTCGTAGTGGGCAGCGAAGTACTCCCCGACGTCATAGCGAGCCAGTCGCCAGTTGGGGTGGATGCCGCGGACGCAGGTATGGGGCTTCGTCTCCTCAAGAAGCTCCAATAAAGCCTCTGGAAGGCGATGCGCTATGCGTCCTGCAAGCTCGGGGTTGCAGTAGTCGGCAGTGCGCTTGCTGGTGCGAAGGCCCGTGACTCCTGCGGCTGTTCTCGGAGGCTCCAAGCCAAACTCCTCACCCAAGCGGATGAGGTCTCCACACTCTTCGCTGCTTAGCAGCTGGGGGACCACCCAGGCCCGTCCATGGATCACTGTCGTGATGCCGTCTCCTGAGATCTGCTCGCCACGCCCACCAACGAGCCGGGGCACCGGTGCTGCCACGTGCTGCCAGTAGGCCCTTCGCAGCGCCTCCTTGCTGCGAGGCGACAGCGGCTTGGCGAGCTTGACGGCCGCGGGCTTTCCCGGCGCACTCAGAGGACCTGGCGGTGACGGCCGGGGGTTCAACAAAGCCACCGCCAAGGGCGACTCCTTCGAGATGGGGCGCTCGAGGTCCGCAATAAGGGCCAATTTCCTCTCAGCGGCGAGGAGTACCCGCGGGTCCTCGTGATACTCAAGAGCTGGCATTGCGTGCAGGCTGCCGATTCTAAGCTGTACAACTGGCAACCGGATTGATCCAAAATTTTCTTCACGGCGGCACTAAGTTTGCAACTCCGTGTGCGGGCGGCGAGAAACTTCCCTTCAGACCAAACGGGGGGTGTTGACGTGCATGTCAGATTGCTTGGAATGACAGCCTGATGCAGACTCTGACATGCCAGAGAGACTCAACTTCGTCCAGCAACTCCGAGATCAGGTCGCTCCTGCAAGGAGTGATCATGCTCTACCATGTTTACCCAAGCAAGCTACAGCCGCATGCAGAACCCTGTATGCAATATGTCATCCTTCCTGGGGCCTGAGCCTTGTTCCAAATGTCGCTGCTTTGGGGCGTCTCCAGTTAAGGGCTAGCAGTGCAAAACGGATTTGTCCCATGGAGGCGTGGCTTGCCACTTCTGCAATCTAACGAAACCAAGGAATCGAACAACATGTGCTCGAAAACCTGCAAGCACTTCGCAGCTCACAACCCTAAACCCTAAACCCCAACAATCCTATAAACCCTAAACCTATGATAGTCAAGAGAGGCCCCTGCCAGCTGCCTGCGAGCTCGGCCGTATGCCGTCAGGGCTGTGCCGTAGGAAACCTCATGCCAAGAGTCTCTTGATGCCAGGATGGGCTAGGCCCCATAATCCCCACAATCAACCCCAATAAAGGACCTCTTTAAGGGGTTGTAGGGTACAATCCCCATTATCAGCCCTTAAAAGGGCCTTTTTAAGGGGTTATGGGGAATAAGAGCCCGTCCTGATGAGTCTGCTCGTAATGGGGACGCTTCTGAAAACGCGCAAAGTGCCCGAAAGCCCCCAAGGCCGACACCTATAGTTTGGGATGTTCGCCCCTTATACTAGCAGTCCTGGGTAGGGATTTTCATCGCGGTTCCAACAATCCCTATTAAGGACTGTTTATCTAAGGGGGAACATCCCAACTTGAAACCTCAACCTTCAAACACTCCTGGTCATGTGGGCTCCAGGGTTCAGGATCTCAAGCAACCAATGGCTTCCTAGTCCAGGATGGGCTATTGTACCCAAAAAACCCTGAAAGAGGCCCCTTTATAGGGTTGATCATGGGGATTATAAGGCCTAATAGCCCATCCTGGGTGGGGGGGTTGCGAGTGGAGTGTTGGAGGTTGCTTTTCATCGTGGGTTCTGGCACCATTCCAGGACTCTGCAAGCAGAATCCGGGGAATCATCGCCTTCATACACCTCCTAGACATGATGTGCAAAACGCAAGAAGAGCCGCACAGAACATCACGGCACCACCCCCAACAAATCAAACAACTATGTGAGCTCGTAAACAGGCAAGAGCCCAAAATCGCCCCCCAAAAGCGTACACACATGCCCAGAATCGCTAGACCCTAAACCATGAGAGGCCGAAAACGTACACACAAGCCCAGAAGCCCTCAACCCTAAACCATGAGGGCCTATAGCCCATGCTCGAACTTCGGGCTTCGACGACCCCCTCCCGAAGCCATCGACCTACAGACCCTACATTGCCAAGCCCCCCAACCATTCAAGCTCATAAGGAGAATGTGCCCCCCCTTAACCCTAAACCCTAAACCCCAAACGGCCCAAACCCCAAACCCTCAACCGGTCGTAGTCCCTGGGCTGCCCGGCAGCGTCTCGGCCCTCGCCCAGGCCTGCCTGCAAGGCGCCCATCAGCAGCAACCTGCTGCCCGGTTTTACCGGCTTCTTGCGTTGCGTTCGGGTTGGGACGCCCAGTGCCCTGGCCAAAAGATTTATAAAGGGTTCTGATAGACCACTGACCCCACCCCTCACCAAATAAAAATCACAAAAAGAGTTGGAACCTGAACTGCGGCGCAACTATGGGGAAAAAGTAGCCGGTGGAGCCTTCTGAAGAAGACTTCAATCCGGCAAAGAGGTTGCGATCATGCTGTGGCATGGTTTGGGGTCTTATGGGCTTGGGGCTTCGAAGCTTTGGCTCACGTCCTACACCTAAAGCTGGACGCCCCCCATGCTGGGGTCTCGGGTATCACAGGGTCCAAAACCCCAGAAAACCTAAAAAACATAACCAAAAACCCACACACCCGGAACCTGCAACCCCAAACCCTGCCCAGCCGAATCTGAGGCCGCCCACACAACTGGCCAAGCTGCACACTGGCCTTCAGGACGTGGGAGGGCTTCAGAGGTAAGGGTTCACAGTGTTCGGCTCGATTATTTTAGGGCATCGGGTTTAGTGTGGGTTTGGGGTTTAGGGTTTGGGGTTTAGAGCACCTAAGCCCCAGAAGTCAAGGCCCAAGGCATTCCAAGGACGTGCTCACCCTCCAACAAACGCGTAGAACAAAAAACATAATAATGATCGTACCTCTCGAGGTTTCGGGTCTCTGCGACAAACGGAGGCTCTTCGACTGTCCCCCAAAAACCTCCAATCGACCCAGCTCAGCCTTAGCCCTGGGTTTGGGTTTGAGGCTTTTGCACCTAAGGTTTACCGAGGCTTCAGGGCTTTGGGTTTGGTGTTGGGTTGTTCGCGTGCCTGCAAATACCAGATTATATCACTGAGGTCCACAACTTGCACGCCGCTCTTTCATACAATTTAGGGCCAGAGGTTTCTCAACAAACACATGCAGCCATGCACCCGGAAGCCCTAAGCTCATTGTACAAATCCCGTATACGGCGCCTCTATCTACGCCGCGACAAGCAAAAACACCTAGACTCGGCAAAAACAAATTCTAGTCCAAATGCGACCGCCAGACCCGAGCAACAACAAAGTCCGCATAGACCAAGCCAGAGCCTTGGGATGTTCCCCCTTATACTAACAGCCCTTAATAGGGATAACAATAGGGGGCACTCAAATTCCCTATAAAGGACAGTTCGCATTGAAGGGGGGGAACATCCCAACCTAAACCCCTGAGCTGCACTTCTTTGCAAGATGACAGCTGGTGTTGGGCCCTCGGCCGCAGGTCTTCATGACCACGTTCGCCGAGGCGGTGGACCTCTGGGCTCGTGGACATGTTCTGCAGCTTTCAGCATTGGATCCTTCAGAGGCTCTACTTTGTCTACCCTAGGAGCTTTGGGGGCTTGGGCTTGGTGGCTTCTACATGTAGGGCATAGCTAGCTCCCTCTCCGGCATCCTCCCCGCCCTCCCCACCCTCAACCGCCACTCGCGTTTCGGGCTCCCCTGAGAACCCCAGAGCCCTAGAGGGTTCCAGAGAGGGGTTGGAGGGATTTCCCGGTGCTAGAAAAAGGCTTCGCAAACCTTAAGCCCTAGGGCTAAAGGGCTTTCCAGGGCTCAGGTTCTCTTGAACCCCCAAGCCCCAGTTTCCGAAGAATGAAAAGGGGTGCCTACCTGAGCTTTTTGTTTTCATGGACTTTTCTAAAAGCTGGGCCCTAATCCTCAAAGGCGTTCGGGTACTACTGGGCACTGGGCATTGCAAAAACCCTCACCTATACCCTGAACCCTAAATCTCTAGATCTAGAACCAAAACTTGGGATGTTCCTCTTACACTAACAGTCCTCAATACGGAATTTAGTACCCCCGATTACCATCCCTATTCAGGACTGCTAGTATACGGGGGAACATCCAAACCAAAAGCCCTGAACCCCTCTGAAGATTGGCTCCGGGCGGGGTCAACAGCTCAGAGCGCATGAGCGCCAAAAGGCCCACGGCCTTGGCAGAAACAAGCCCAGAATCCCCCTCAATTCCTGCCAGGGCTTAGGGTTCTTTAGTTATTTAGGGTTCATAAGGTGTAGGGTAGCGTCCAAATCCCACCCCACCCTCCCACCCCCCAAAAATAAAATAATAAAATAATATAAAAAAACATAACAACAAGAGTAATGAAGAAGTGTAGGGCCTAGTGGAGCGAAGTCTTTGAACACCCCAGACCAGCCACGGCTTCAGGGCCAACCAGGGCTTCCGGGCTTTGCAGGTTTGGGGGGTCTAGGTGTCCCCCAGCAACCTCGCTCAAAAGGGCGCCCGTTTTTTGGCAAACAGGGCCTATCATCTAAGGGAACCTACAAGCCCTTTTGCAAAGGGAAGAAAGGGCACCACTGGGGGTGCTGGGGGTATCCCGGCTTTGGGGCTTAGGCCCAACGTTTTGAGCTTCCGCGCAGCTTGTGAAATCATCCTTCCGAGCGAAAAGCCTTAATGCGCTACAGTCGCTTGCTGGCTGAGATTTCCATTGGGCAAACGGTAGCCTCTGGGATTTTCAAAGGGCTTAAGCCCCCAGAAAGTTTACTCAGCACCCTGCGTAGTCAACAAAACAAGTCAGATCAGCTCATCCCGAAGTATACACAGTACCAAACCTCCTAGACCCCTAGGTCCTTAGACCTTCCTTCCTTCCTTCCGAGGCATCAGGGTCCAGCAGGTACCCGCGCGGGCCAAAAACAGAATCGCTGTGATTCTGCAGCCCAGAGACGAAATCAACGACCTAAGGTGAAAAGGGCCCTGATCCCTATAGGTTCCTTCTTGAACCCTTGATAAAACTCCAGGAAGCCCGTGTTCATCGGCAAGCCACAACCTCCCAGCAGCCCTGCTCGGCACAGGCCGCCATGGCGGTATTGACGGCCAGCACGTCTGGGCGGACACCTTCGGCTCGGTTGGGGTTTGGGATGTGTGGGCTCTGTACAAGCAGGGCATTTCGTGGCTCTCTCTCTTCTTCTTCTTCTTCTTCTTCTTCTGCTTCTTCTTCTTCTTCTTCTTCTTCTTCTTCTTCTTCTTCTTCTTCTTCTTCTTCTTCTGCTGGGCATGAAGGGAACCCCGAAAAGGCCCCCCCCCCCCCCCCGCGCACGAAGCGCTCTCTCTCTCTCTCTCTCTCTCTCTCTTTCTCTGTGCAGGAATCTCTCTCTCTCTCTCTCTCTGTGCAGGAACGGGGCGTCAGTTTTGGGCGTGTAGGGTTTAGGGTTCAAGGTCTGCAGGCTCTAGGGTCACGAAGTCCTGGCGCTTAAGCCTTGGCGCGCGCTTCAACAGCGTTTTCCATCAGCTTGAGAGAATGCGGAGGCAGTCGGGTTGAACGTTCAGGTTTCGGATCTTGGGCATTCTGCGAACACTTCGAGTCATCCTTCGAGGCTCTTTCCAGTTCCCATGAACACCCGAAAACCCAGGAAATCCTAAACCCCAAACCCCGAACCTCCCCAACTCCTGACAGTTGAATCCTGCACAACACCCCCGAAAACCCAAAACCCAAACCCTTACCTTCTGCCATCATCGTGGAGAGGAGAGCCAGAGCTGGTTGCCAACTTCCGACATCCTGACGGCAGTCTCAAGGTCAAAAGAACGAATATCATAGCTCTTCGGGTACTTGCGAATGAATGAAACCTGTTGAGACAAAAGATCTAGGTTCGCCAGCTTGGGGTCGAACTCAATTGAAAACGGGATAAGGGTGCGGATAGGCATGCTTCGAACTTATGGGGCCCTGAAGCTGTGCTTGAGGATCTCAATGCAACGAGACATGATCCAACAAATCTCACGGCGAGAGAAACCATGACCCGAACACGACACGCATGTCACAGTAAGTGTTGGGCGAATTATGTCTAATTTGGTCAAGGAAATTTGATGCTGTTGAAATCCTTTGAGAAGATCGCATCTGCACCAAGAACATGAATTCTCAGATCTTCTTCATGTACCGGTGAGAACCCAACCCGGGGATAAGCGCACATCTATATTATGATGAAGTCATAGAAGGCACGTTCAAGTTCAGGGGCACATCATTCTGAGCCGACTCGACAATCATTTTCAGCTTAAGTCGCCTGCAGCAACAGTCAGCCTCGAACCTGTACGCCAATCTGCCCCTAGCTCAAGAAAAACATGCTAGAAAAACACCCAGCAAGCTCAAAGGATGTGTTCGCTTTGCTGGCAGCTAAGTCCAAGCTGTGAACATCCTCTGATTGCTGTGCTGGCGCTGCGTGAGGGAACTATGTACATCAGGATGAGTCTGAGCTGAAATGAAATCAGGGACCAAGACCCTCCGCTCACATATGTATTTCAAAACTCTGCCATGGATACACTCTGGGTTTGCAAAAAAATGCTACGACTCAACATGCTCAGCCAAGCATAAAGCTTTCCGGAGCCTAAGCCCTCTACACTGACACCCCCCGGAACACCCTCGGGAGCTGTTCAATAATCAAGCAGCTACGTGCCTTGCACCCCCGCAAAACCACGGCGTAGTTCATGACGTTTGGCTTGAAGCTTGCCTGTGAATGTTCGGGGGTTTGGGCTTTGGTGTGGGTGGACATTTTTGATTGGCCCTTTTTTTGGTGCCCTTTTTTTTTTTTTGGGGGGGGGGGGGGGGGGGGGGTGGGTTAGTGTTTAGGGTTCAAGGTTTAGGGTTTAGGGTTTAAAAAAAGGGCCAGAAAAAGGCCAAAAAAAGGGTTCCCCTTTGGTGTCCCGTTTCTCTTGCAGTCCCCTAACCCTGTAAACCCCGTAGTTCTTGCAAGGGAAGGGGCAAGGTGAACCAATGCCACGACTGTGGGGCATCTCGACACTGCACGACTAAGACGAGACGGAAAGGCCCGACAAGGCCCTGCAAGCTACCAACACAAGAATGTCCCCAAAGCCAACCGTTAGCAATCCAGACCGCGCAAAAAAAGAGACAGTCCAAGTTCGGGTCATAGTCGGGGCAGGAGGGCTGGGCTAGCCCACGAAGTCTAAGACCCGGCAAGAGACATTGCTCCAAAAGCTTCTACACGCCCAGCCTGCACCCACATGCGAGCACCATCTAAGTCCGTGTTGTTTTTGAACCTTGAACCCGCGAAACTTTACACCCTTTAGTCCTGAAGATCCTAACCTGCAACGGCCCTAAGCACCAGGTCTTGCCCAGTCGCTTCGCGCATGTCCGAGAGTGCGTTGAGAGCGGCTTCCCAGCCGCCAGCCACCTTGCCCAGGGGTCGACTCTACAGCTTCTGCTGCCATGCGGTCTATAGGATTTAGAGTATCGTCCCTAAACTCTATAGCCCTGAGAAATATAGAGGACCGTCCCTCAATACTCTAGCGAAAGCCTGACGTCATGGTTTCTCTGAAGACCAGAATCCTCAGTGCCGTGGCCTGCGCCACGCGGATCAGGAGGCCGAAGGTCATGCCGTCAGGCTGCAGGCGCCTCGACCTCACAGGACACTGCAAGGGTCCACGACATCAGAGAAGGTGTGGGATTTGTGGTATTTGGGTTACTAGGGCTTGAGAACTGTAGGGTTTTTTAGGATTTCGGATTGACCGTATAGGGTCAACAAACGGAAGGGGTCACAACACAACAAGGGCTGCCACATCGAGCCAGCTGCGGTAGTTCATCGTAGAGGCCCAGCGCGACTTGCCACGAGCCACTCTTCTCGCATGCCGAAAGCGCCGAGTTCCACCCCACAGTGTCGGAGCCGAGGGAGCTCAGCAGAGCTAACACTGCTTTCCACTGCTTGGCCTTCCGGGAACCAGGACTCAGCCCTAAACCGCGAATGAAATGCCGAGGCCCTACACTAACAGTACCCTGAGTCCTCAACCCCAGGCGCTTAGGGTTTCAAGAATCTGACGGAGATGTGGTGGGGGGTGGGGGGAGGGGGGGGAGGGTGTTCTACATTGGGGTACCCTGTGGGCTTGCGGGCTGAGACCATGGAGGGATCACCCTACAAAGGAACCCAAACAAAACTCCCAACGAGTGCCGATTTATGCCGCTCCTTCTCACAGGCTGCCATGGCGGCGTTCGAGACGATGGTGTTCCTTGCCGCGAAGAGTCTCATCAAAGAAGAGGACGCCGTTAAGGGGGTCTCAGAGATTCAACTTGGGGGTTTTTCGTTGCGGCGATGTTCAATTTAGGGTTTCAGGGTCCTTCTATCCGAAAGTGTCGAAAAGCTGGCCAAGGCATCCTAGGATCAAGGGCAGTCGCTGTGAGATCCCTTCCTCCAGGAGGGCCACTGCCTTCTGCCATGACTTGGCTCGGCCGGCATTGGTTATGGAGGCCGTCCACACCTGCGGCGAATGGAAAAAAGATCTCCAAGACCTAATCCGAAACATCCCCAAGCCTGGTAAAGCCCATAGCCCTGCAGAGTGCCCCAAGAACGCTTCAAAAACCCAAGCGCCCCCGCACACACACACACACACACACACACACACACACACACACACACACACACACACACACACACACACACACACACACACACACACACACACACACACACACACACCACCACACACCACACACACACACACACACACACACAACACACACACACACACACACACACACACACACACACACACACACACACACACACACACACACACACCCACAACACACACCACACACACACACACACCACACACACACACACACACCACACACACCAACACACACACACAACACACACACACACACACACACACACACACACACAACACACACACACACACACCACCCCACACAACCACACCCCACACACACACACACAACACACCCACACACACAACACACACACACACACACAACACACACACCACACACAACACACACACACCACACACACCACACACAACACACACAACACACACCACACACAACACACACAACACACACAACACACACAACACACACACACACCACACACACACACACACACACACACACACACACACACACACACACACACACACACACACACACACACACACACACACACACACACACACACCGTAACCCCGATAAGCCCCTGCAAGCCCAACAAATCCCCAAGCCCACCAGGTCTAGGGCCCTTCAACGCCTAAACCCTAAAACCCTAAAACCCTAAAACCCTAAAACCCTAAAACCCTAAAACCCTAAAACCCTAAAACCCTAAAACCCTAAAACCCTAAAACCCCAAACCCCAAAACCCCAAGACCCTAACCCCCTAAACCTCTAAACCCTTTGCCTTCAGCCGATCCTTTTGGCTGCGTGGAGCCCGCAATGGGGAGCTGCGCCGCATGGAGCTCATGAGCTCCATGCTCCGAGGGTATCAGGGAACATAGGGTTATGGGAACATAGGGGTCTGGGGCTCTAGGGGTTTTTGGGAGGTTTAGGGTTTAGGGTTTAGGGTTTAGGGTTTAGGGTTTAGGGTTTAGGGTTTAGGGTTTAGGGTTTAGGGTTTAGGGTTTAGGGTTCAGCATTTAGGGTTTAGGTTTTAGGGTTTAGGGTCTCAAGGAGGCATTTCAAGAAAGCAAGGGTTGCCGGTTTTGGGGTGTCGAGGCTTGTGGGCTTGCTGGAGTTGAACAGTGGTGGTCGTCATGCACTGTGGCTCGTTCAGGGTAGTTACGAAGTCCACGAATTCTTCGGCTGTGGCGAGACGTTGGCGATCGTCGGGCTGGGGCGTTGAAGGCTAATCGGTATAACCCCCCTCTCAAAGTCCGAACCGTAAGCTGCCCTGAACCATGAACGCCACAAGGGCGTGGAGAACCCTAAACCCTGGTCTCAGCCCAACTGCATTGCAAAGGAAGTCTCAGGTCAATGAATCGGACATGCGGCCCGCCCTCCTGTACCTGGCCCGCTTTCAGAATTTTCAGAATTTTCAAATAGCCCCGACAAGGTATCTGCAGGCCCTTACGAAAGGGTAACCCTAAACCCTAAACCCGAAACCCTAAACCCCTCAACCCTGGACTCGAAACCTGCTCCGAAGGCTTCTGAGGGCTTCCCATCTCCCCCCCAAGCCTTGACAATACCGGGCCCTCTCCTCAACAAACCTCAAACCCCGGAGTCCAAGTCCGGATTCCCAAAACCCAATCATCCCCAAACCACAAACCCCCAAACCCTGAACCCTCAGCCCTAGAGGCCCAAAACCCCAAACCCTAAAGGCCACATGGGCCTTTGCACGGCCATTTTGGGGGGGCAGACTTTTCAGAAGCCGGCGGCACTCGCCAAGGGAGACCTGCGTTGCCAGCTCCAGTGTTTGGAGGAATGCCGGGGGCACTCGCGGAGCCGCCTGCTCCTTACAAGTAGGGGTGCAGGGTTTATTAGGGGATTTAGGGTTTAGAAGTTTGGGGTCTAGGGCCTAGGGCCTAGGGTTTCGGGTTTGGGGTTTCGGGCTCATAAAGGCTGATCGGGTTTAAGGTGAATGATGTTTATACAGCATATAGGGTCGAAGGTTCATCGGTTACGGGTTTACGGTTTGGGGGCTTACGTCTTCAGGGGCTAGAGTTGAATGTTGTTAACAGGGATTTAATAGAGAAAATGCGGAACAAATCCGCCGACCCCAGCCGGGGGCGGTGTCAGTGAAGACCCACTGCTTTTTAGACCTTCCACCTCATCCATGACAGTCCGCCAAGAGCTTGCCGCTCCCCCCCCCCCCCCCCCCCCCCCCCCCCCCCCCCCCCCCCCCCCCCCCCCCCCCCCCCGGGCCACTCTAACACGGCCCTGGCCCCATGGCTTCATGGCAGCACGCCAGGGCCCCACCCCCATGGCCCCATGGCCCTACCACACAGGCGCTTTGGAGCAAACGGCAACTGAGCTTAGGGCCGATCTAGGCTGGGCCATGGGGCCATGGGGGTAGGGCCCTGGGGCGCTGGGGCCATGAAGCCATGGGGCCGGGGCTGTGTTGGAACCACCTCCCACCCCCACCCCACCCCCCACACCCCAGCACCCCCCCACCTCCCCCCCACCCCCCAATGCTTTCAGGCCTGCTGCCTGCTTCATCACCCCCCTCACACTTGCAGCGCATGCCCAACCCTCGCGCCCCTTAGCGCCCTGCCCCGAGCCCCAAAGATATGAATTTCGGTTTTATACAAATATAAAAAGATAAAAGATCACTAAAAGATATCTCCTTTATCTTTTGGTCTTCATGTTTACCAAAAACTCATTATATACTTTAAAATACTATGTGTATAGATATTAGTTATACATAGAACTCATTCTTTTTAAATATTTTTTGCTACAGCCCTTAACCCTAAACCCTAAATCTTGGAGCCTGTACTGGCTCTGCGGCTTGCCGGCCTGCCGCCCGCCCTCCTGTCTGGGGTCGGCGGCACTGGCGGTAGCCGTTAAATCGGGCAGCGCGAGGTCCCCAAAGGACCGAGCAAATGCGGACCTTTTAACCCGGGTCGTCCCGGGAATAGCCTTGCTGGCCTCTGGCCTTCTGCGAAGCAGAATTAGGCCGGACGCCAGTGCCGCCGACCCCCGCGTGCCGCCGGTGAACGGTTTTTTTTTCGTGGTTTTTTTGCGTCGCCACGGAGGCCCCCAGAGGGCGCGCATCATGAGCATCAGCGGGTCCAGCCCGGGACCCCCAGGCGCGCATCAGGAGCATCAGCGGCTCCCGGGGCGGGACCCCGGGGGCGCATCAGGAGCATGATGCCCCCCAAAGGGAGGGCATAAGCGACGTGTCTAAGCCCGGGGCTAGGAAAAAGGGAGTTTAGGGGCCTTATATAGTGCTTAGAAACGTTAAGGGAGTCTAGGAGCCTCAAACGCTTAGAGATTTGAAGGGAGTTTAGGGGCCTGAAAATGCTTAGAAACTTAACGCTTAGAGATTTTAAGGGAGTTTAGGGGCCTCAACATGCTTAGAAACTGCTCGCCCCGGTCGTCCCGGGAATAGCCTTGCTGGCCTTATGAGCATCAGCGGGTCCAGCCCGGGACCCCCAGGCGAGCATCAGGAGCATCAGCGGCTCCCGGGGCGGGACCCCGGGGGCGCATCAGGAGCATGATGCCCCCCAAAGGGCGGGCATAAGCGACGTGTCTCAGCCCGGGGCTAGGAAAAAGGGAGCTTAGGGGCCTTGTAAAGTGCTTAGAAACGTTAAGGGAGTCTAGGAGCCTCAAACGCTTAGAGATTTGAAGGGAGTTTAGGGGCCTGAAAATGCTTAGAAACATTAAGGGAGTTCAGGAGCCTCAAACGCTTAGAGATTTTAAGGGAATTTAGGGGCCTCAAAATGCTTAGAATAGAAACTTCAAGGGAGTTTAGGAGCCTCCAACGCTTAGAGAAACCCCAAACCTGTGACGGATCTGCTCGCCCCGCGCTTCTGCCTGCGCTGCCCGCCCATGGGCGCAGCCCCTTAAAATAAAACAACAAATCGAGGGTGGGTGTGGAGCTGGGGCCGGGGGAGCGCGCATGAAACCTACCCTCCTACCTCTCTGCCACCTCCTCCTCCTCCGGTTGCAAACCAGAGCGCTATCATGCCGACCTCAATCCACCAGACAGTGTGGAAGCCTGGCCCAGCAACCAAAGCCGAAACGCATCGCCCAATAACCAGTAAAACACGGCAACGGGTACCTCACCCCTGGAAGAAAAGGGTAAACACATGGCACCACTAGACTTAGAGTCCTAGGAAGGCCTACTCCCAACAAGAGGCGAGCTGCAGCTGCGGCAGTCAGGCTGTCACACACTGCCACGTCCGGTCGAAGTTGCCCTCTTGATAGCGACGTTGCTACCTCCACCTCGGAATGCGACGCGCGGCTACTGCCTTGTAGGGTTGAGGGAGATTGTTGCAGTCATCCGTGTAGCACGAGCTATTGAAATAATTAGGCCCTAAACCCTCACCTTGTAAACTCCAACCTCAGCAGAGTTTATAGTGCGCTACCCGGACTGAAGCCCAGAATCACTGGAGCATCAGCTTATTGCACAAAGAGTAGCCCAGCTTTGCATGTGCAGCCGAGATGCTGCAGCTTGCCACGCTGCAGTCTTTCCGCAGCTTCCAACAGCGGCCACGGTGGCTGCCAGGTCTGTCTGGATGCACTTCCTGCAACGCAAAACCCCCCTAAACCCTAAACCCTTCATCCTTAAACCCTAAACATCCCTAAACCCTTAACACTTAAACCCTAAACATCCCTAAACCCTAAACCCTAAACCCTAAACCCTAAACCTACTAAACCTACTAAACCTAAACCCTAAACCCTACACTCCTAACATCCTGGGAGCTCAGGGCTCCTCTGCATGGTTCGGAGAAGCTGGAGCGCCGAGCGCCACAAGCCGCGCACCTGCAACGCAGCGTGGCGACGACGGGCTGAGGGTGGAGGGAGTCGGTTACCAGTAGTTTGGGCGTGATCAGACGAGAGATGCAGGGTTCAACGGGGGTAAAGGACAGAAGTTAAACTCGTTTCGTGATCCGAATAGACGGATCATGTTTTCGTAGGGGTATTCATGGACCCCAAACGACCAAAACCAACCCTCCTAACCATACGTTGTTCAGATCAGGGAACGAGGTGGCAAGGTGGTGCTGGCAAGGTGGTGCTCACCAGGCCCCCAGGAGCACTTTCACAAGTTGTACTGCAGAAGGCTTGCCCGATTGAGGTTTCGAGCCTCTGTGCGAGAGTTCAAAACCATTGAGGTTTGAGGAAGTAAACCTCTCCCCCCAAAATCCCCGGCACCTCATGCAAGGCCAGGGCTACATTCTGAGCAGCTCGGCCGATCTCCAAGCGCAAAGCCTCGGCAGTCACTGGCTCCAGTGATGGCGAAAAGAAGCTGAAGAGAAGCTGGAGTCCTTCTACTGTTACTCATAGGCTTCTCCCAAAACCCCCCCCCCCCCCCCAGCCCCCTGCCTTCATGTCTTCCAGCAGCTTCGCCACAGCTCGGATCTTGGAGGACTTCATGCAGGCCAAGAGCATGGCCGTGTAGGCCACAGCATCCGCGCACCTTGCATGCTACCAATTGACCCTTTCTCGCCCGTGGAATCGCTTCACAGGATTCATTCACTTCAAGGCTCGCTGAACTGGGTAGGTTTTGGGGGCCTACAAGAATTAGCCCAAAACCATGGCTTTAGAAGGTATAAATAGGGGATTAAGGGTAGTAAAACTATGTTCAACCCTCCCCCTGGGCATGTGCTTAGATACAAATTCGCCCTCCCAAGCCTCCCAAAGTCCCCCAAGCCGCTGCTATCCCAACCTCCGACTGCACATGCTAAGTGGGCGTAAGTCACTGTGCAAAACATAGGGACGCCCTGGTAACCTTCTTTTTGGGTACCTCCCCCTCCCTCCCCGCAAGTTATTTTTATATGGACCCAAGACCCTCAAATTCCTGGGACCCTATTTACCTACAGTTTGGTAGAAAGTACCCCTGTTTAGTAGGCATAACCCTTAGAGCTGTAAATACATAGGGCCACAGGATAACTCTGAAACCCCCAAACCCTCCGCAAGTGCTCCGTTGCGGCCGAGGAAGCCCTGCTGCCCCTTGGCCGCAGAAGCGCAGGTCGCCAAGCAGCGCCAGGCCGGACCTAAGGTTGTTTGAGGGTTAAGGGGGTAAATAGCCTTACTACCGTGAGCCCGGGAGACTCTAAACTCAAAACCCCAAATGGAAATGAAAATGGAATGCCACAGCAGAATACATGGCGGAGGCAGCGCTGCACCAGGACATTCTGCTACACATATTGCGCGATACCTCAAGGGGAGCCTTGCAGGTCAGGACAATGTGCGAAAGGTCCCTGAACCCCAAGCACCCTAAACCCTAAACCCTAAACCCTAAACTCAAGGGGAGCCTTGCAGGTCAGGACAATGTGCGAAAGGTCCCTGAACCCCAAGCACCCTAAACCCTAAACCCTAAACCCTAAACCCCAAACCCCTAAACCCCAAACCCCAAACCGAAATAGGTAACCGAGGTGGATGAAGCCTTGGAGTCTTGGAGACCCGCCTCCAAGCTCTCCTCCGCGCGGCCGCGGCCAGGCCGGCGCTGGCCGCAAGCTCCCCAGGGCCCAGTGTCCTTGGGCCCCACGGGTTTAGGGTTTAGGGTTTTAGGGTTTTAGGGTTTTAGGGTTTTAGGGTTTCAGGGTTTTAGGGTTTAGGGTTTTAGGGTTTTAGGGTTTTAGGGCTTTAGGGCTTTCGGGTTTTAGGGCTTTAGGGTTTTAGGGTTTTGGTATTTTGCGGATACTGGGGGCTTTCGGGTTTATAGGCCTTTTTAGGGCTCTTCGGGTTCTCTTCGGGCTCTTAGGGAACTCTTGGGGTTCTTGGCGCTTTTGATGTTCTTAGGTTGCCACACCAGTTGAGGGTGTAGAGCTTGTTGGGTTCAGAATTTAGGGACCTAGACCTCAGCCCCAGTTTTGGGTGCAGGGTTTTAGGGTTCAGGGTAAAGGGACGACACCCCCTAAGCCTCCTGAACCCCCCCGCCTTGTGCAACTTCCAACTTGAGCCAGGCAGCTGCTCCGGCATGCCTGCGAAAAGCTGCACGGCCCAAGCCCACCTGCATCAGGGAGCCCCCTGTGGTCTAAGGGTGGTTGCATGGTCCCTTACAAACTAAGGGCCCATACATCAGAACCCCTTAAAGGAGGTTAGGGACCATGCAACCATATTCAGGGCCCATGAAAGTACCCTCAGATGTAGGAGATAGAAACAAACCTGAGAACCCGCAAGCCTTTGTTTGTGTCGCTTAATGATGGTCCCTAAGGATCTTATATGATAATATCTCAAACCATTGTATGGTGAGGGCTTCTGCAACAGCAGCCCGCACGACACGTGGTTTGGTGTTCTTGAGTTCATTTCGGAACCCATATTATTGATCATCATGTAGGTTTCGGGTTTAAGGTTCAGTTCCCACCACCCCCCCCACCACCCCCCACCCCCCCCACCCCCCCCCCGTGTGTGAGCAAAACCGGGTCTATTTAGAAGCTGGGGCTTGTGATTTATAATACAGGTCCATATACCTAAATGTAATAAACCTAGAAGAGCACGGCTTCTAAATAGACCCTACGGTCGGATTTCAAAAGGACGTTGGCAGAAATTAATAATTTTAATAATTTTAATAGTTTTAATAATTTTAATAATTTTAATAATTTTAATAATTTTAATATTTTTAATAATCCTGAGAGGCTCCCGGAAAATTAAAATTATTAACAATATTAAAATTATTAAAATTATTAATTTCTGCCCTGAAAGGCTCCCGGAAAATTAAAATTATTAAAATTATTAAATTTATTAAAATTATTAAAAATATTATTTTCTGCCATGAGAGGCTCCCGGAAAATTAAAATTATTAAAATTATTGAAATTATTAAAATTATTAATTTCTGCCCTGAGAGGCTCCCGGAAAATTAAAATTATTAAAATTATTAAAATTATTAAAATTATTAAAATTATTAAAATTATTAAAATTATTAAAATTATTAAAATTATTAAAATTATTAATTTCTGCCCTGGGGGGCTCCCGGAAAATTAAAATTATTAAAATTATTAAAATTATTAAAATTATTAAAATTATTAAAATTATTAAAATTATTAATTTCTGCCCTGAGAGGCTCCCGGAAAATTAAAATTACTAAAATTATCAAAATTATTAAAATTATTAAAATTATTAATTTCTGCCCTGAGAGGCTCCCGGAAAATTAAAATTATTAAAATTATTAAAATTATTAAAATTATTAAAATTATTAATTTCTGCCATGAGAGGCTCCCGGAAAATTAAAATTATTAAAAATATTAAAATTATTAAAATTATTAAAATTATTAAAATTATTAATTTCTGCCCTGAGAGGCTCCCGGAAAATTAAAATTATTAAAATTATTAAAATTATTAAAATTATTAAAATTATTAAAATTATTAAAATTATTAAAATTATTAATTTCTGCCCTGAGAGGCTCCCGGAAAATTAAAATTATTAAAATTATTAAAATTATTAAAATTATTAAAACTATGAAACCATTAATAATTAAAATTTTAATAATTTGAATAATTTCAATACTTTTAATAATTTTAACAATCTTAATAATTCTAATAATTTTAATAATTTTAATTTTCCGGGAGTCTCTCAGGGCAGAAATTAATAATTTTAATAATTTTAATAATTTTAATAATTTTAATAATTTTAATAATTTTAATTTTCCGGGAGCCTCCCAGGGCAGAAATTAATATTTTTAATAATTTTAATAATTTTAATAAATTCAATAATTTTAATAATTTTAATTTTCCGGGAGCCTCTCAGGGCAGAAATTAATAATTTTAATAATTTTAATAAGTTTAATAATTTTAATAATTTTAATAATTTTAATAATTTTAATAATTTTAATAATTTTAATAATTTTAATAATTTTAATAATTTTTAATAATTTTAATAATTTTAATTTTCCGGGAGCCTCTCAGGGCAGAAATTAATACTTTTAATAATTTTAATAATTTTAATAATTTTAATTTTCCGGGAGCCTCTCAGGGCAGAAATTAATAATTTTAATAATTTTAATAATTTTAATAATTTTATTAATTTTATTAATTTTAATAATTTTAATTTTCCGGGAGCCTCCCAGGGCAGAAATTAATAATTTTAATAATTTTAATAATTTTAATAATTTTAATAATTTTAATAATTTTAATAATTTTAATAATTTTAATAATTTTAATAATTTTAATAATTTTAATAATTTTAATAATTTTAATAATTTTAATTTTCCGGGAGCCTCTCAGAGCAGAAATTGATAATTTTAATAATTTTAATAATTTTAATAATTTTAATAATTTTAATAATTTTAATAATTTTAATTTTCGGGGAGCCTCTCAGGGCAGAAATTAATAATTTTAATAATTTTAATAATTTTAATTTTCCGGGAGCCTCTCAGGGCAGAAATTAATAATTTTAATAATTTTAATAATTTTAATATTTTTTCTAATTTTAATTTTCAGGGAGCCTCTCAGGGCAGAAAATAATAATTTTAATAATTTTAATAATTTTAATAATTTTAATAATTTTAATTTTCCGGGAGCCTCTCAGGGCAGAAATTAATAATTCTAATAATTTTAAAAATTTTAATAATTTTCATAATTTTAATAATTTTAATAATTTTAATAATTTTAATTTTCCGGGAGCCTCTCAGGGCAGAAATTAATAATTTTAATTATTTTAATAATTTTAATAATTTTAATAATTTTAAATGTACTTTTTAAGCTTAGAATCAGTAAAAACTGAAAATTTGCTCAAAGAATCCTACAACATAGTAAAAAATCGCAAAAATTGACCAATTTTGGGGGCCCGTGTAGTATAAAATCAAATAAAAAACGGTACGTGAGAATGCCTTCAGATGCAGGAGAAAAGAGTACCCAGAAACCGCGGTATCATCTCCAAAAAATGACAAAAACACACCGTACTCTCCCACGCGATCCTACGCGCTATCCTGCATTCCTTCCTCTTTGTCTTTGGTTCGGAAAAGAAAGGAACGGCTACCAGCCTCCCTCCCGACTTACATCTTTACATTCTCTTGTTTCGTCCTGCTCACCCGGAAAGAAGGTCTGCCTCCAGTCTTTCCTCGCCTCCCTGCTCACTATTATGAGTTCCTTTCACTTCTCTTCTGTTGCTTACATTCTTCTCAAAAGTGTGAAAGGTGCGGGGGACATCCCTTTCACTTTGTCTCTTCTGGGGAAATTCCCAATTGCAGGAGGCTATCTCTCCTTGTCTTTGTTCTGTGTTCATATAGGGAATGAAGATAGAAGATGAATAAATAAGAAAGAATCAAGTCTATAATGTCCTCTATCCGTGTCTCTTGTGATTTCTTCAATTCCTATCTCTGCAGATTCTTCAATGGAAGGCGGACTTCTTCCTCCAACCAAAAGCGACCTTCTCAAAAAGAAGACAAGAGACGAACATCAATCACCGGAACCTGACTCCTAATCTCCTGTGTTTCCTTGCCTCTTTCCTCGCTATTCTCTCTTCCTTTCTTCTCTCCCGGTGCTTACATTCCCATCAACATGAAAATTGAGGGGGCAGCGCATCCCTTTCCTTTCCCCATCAAAGAAAGGCTGCCTTCCTATCCGCGTATGTTCTTCTTCCTTCCGAAAAGACTATAAGAGGTAGGGGTAAACAGAATGAAAGAGGAGTCTCCTGTTGCTTTCCGACTACCTTCTCACCACAAAAAGGAACCTTCCCACTATTCCCTACTTTCTTTCTTTTATCTTTTTGCACTTTACGTTTCCCGCTGAGAAAATGAGACGTTTCCCACTGAGAAAATGAGACAATGATGACAATAAGGAAAAAAGATCACCTGCCTGTATTTTCAAACCTGTCCGCTGCATCTTTTCCCTTTACATCGCAGATTGAAGGAAAGCAAAAAAAGGGAAGAATCCCTTTCCCTACCTTTCCCAGTTCATTCCTTGTGCTTTCCATGTTCTTTGGAATTGCTTTGTTCTTCAGCAAGGAAAAGCGCAACTTCCCTCTCAATTTCATGTTTCCATTTCTCCGATGTCTTTTTTATTCAAGAAGCAAGCGGAGGGGCTGCCTCCTGTGTTTCCTTGCCTCTTTCCTCGCTATTCTCTTTTCCTTTCTCTTCTCTCTTGGTGCTTACATTCTTATGAAAAACGTGACAGTTGTGGGGGCATCCCTTTCGCTTTCTCTCTTCTGGGGAAATTCCCAATTGCAGGGGGCTCTCTCTCCTTGTCTGTCTTCTTTTCTCATACATAGGGAAAGGAGAAAGAAGATGAAGAACTAGGAAAGAATCATTTCCACACATTCCTCTATTCCTACTGTCCGGAGATTGGCAAGCTTTCGGAAGCTCTGGTCTCTAGTCACGCCTGACCAAAGTCAACTTCCCGTGCGTGAGGGCCATATGTGAGGGGCCAGGAGGGGGGCAGAAAGTCCGGAATAAGGTAGTGTTTCGAGTTTCAAAATCGTTTCCATAGTTTCAAATTAGTCTCAAGTCAGTTTCAAACTAGTTTCAAAATCCAGTTGAAATATCGCTGTTAAGGAGGAGCTGCAATTTCTGTCCGCGCTTGTTGAAAACCAGAACCTCTAGAGATTCCTGCATTTTTTGCAATTGCGCGTAGAAAACGCAGTTTCCCCTTAACAACGAATTCGCAACTGGATTTTGAAACTGTTTTGCAACTAGTCTGAAACTACAGAAACGAATTTGAAACTTGAAGAACGCAGCATTTCTGCTCCCTGGCGCTTGGCCACGCCCAAGCAAGAGGAGGCTAGAAGCCGCGGCTCGCGAAACCAGCAACAACTCTTGCCAAGGCAGCCACGCAATCACAAGTCAGTAAATTATCTTGTCTGAGACTGTGTCTCTTCTGAGTTGTTCTATTCCTTTCTCTGCATCCTTTCTTCTTCTCACTTGTCCTTTCACTTTTCTTTTGTCTCTTCTCACTCCAACCAAAAGGGAAATCGCAAGGGAGTCATATAGGGAAAGGCGACAACGTGAAGAAATAAGAAAGAATCATTTCCATATTGTCCCCTATTCCTGTCTCTAAATCTGCAGATTTTTCAGAAT